ACACACACACACACACACACTCGCTCTGAACCTTGCCCTTTGTGGCTCTCCATAGTCCTTGACGGTAGACACACACACACACACACACACACATACACACACACACACACACGCTCTGAACCTTGCCCTTTGTGGCTCTCCATAGTCCTTGACGGTACACACACACACACACACACTTGCTCTGAACCTTGCCCTTTGTGGCTCTCCATAGTCCTTGACGGTACACACACACACACACACACACACACACACACACACACACGCTCTGAACCTTGCCCTTTGTGGCTCTCCATAATCCTTGATGGTACACACACACACACACACACACGCTCTGAACCTTGCCCTTTGTGGCTCTCCATAGTCCTTGACGGTCCTGCTGTTCCTCTGCTTAGAGAGAGAAAGAGCAGGCCAGTCATGGCCAGCCCAGAGATGGGTGATGGTGAACGCAGGGTAGGTACCTGGCTGCCTTTCCCAGAGAGCCAGCTGCCGTGCAGATGTGTGTCTTTGGTCCAAGTGCGAGGGCACAGTCCATGCCCACCTCCATTCCCAGAAAAACAGCCTCACCGTCCTGCTAGCCTGGGCCCTGTGGACAGCAACGCAGCACTGCCACTTCCATTTCTCAAACCATGCCCAGAGGTCATATCAGACATGAGTCCTAGCTCTGCCTCACCTCGGCAGTGATGGGCCCCTGGAGGCCCCATGTTTTTTGCCCTATAAAAACAAAGGGGTTAAGTGAGCTGCTCATAAGACCCCTTCCGCTCTGCCGCTGAGCTCCCATTTCCCTCGCAGTCAGTGAGGTCCTTTTGAGCCAGTTCACAATATCCCCAGTGTTTACCCCGTGGCTCTTCGCTGCTCCCTGAAGACCAGTTGTGCTCTGTGTTCTAGGGGATCCTCTCCGATGACCACGGGCTGGCTGCTGCCCTCTGGAGAACCTTCTTCAACCAGCAATGTGAAGACCCTCGGCAGCTTGAGTTGCTGGTGGAATACGTGAGGAAACAGGTGAGCTTCCCCAGACACATTGACACATGGAGGTTTGTGGAGAGCAGGTCCTCCTTAGGAGGTGGGCACTGGACTCAGCCTCAGGAAACGCTGACTGACAGCGGCAGGCACTGCTGGCGAATGAGCACCTTCTCTTGTCCAGCCAGGAAGTGGACCAGGGCTAGAGAAGGAGGAGACTCGCTGAGTGGCCTCTTGCTTTCAGAAAGCTGCCATCATTTATTCATTGACTCATTCCCTATGTTGTTTCCTTCCTTGTACTGAGAGCTATGCTAAATCGTGAGCCCTTGGAGTCCTGAAAGATACAAGCTTGGGGCATCGCAGGCCACTCGCTCGTGAATTCATTTCCTACTCCTGACCAGGTCCAGGGTCCAGGCAGCATTTCACAAACACCACACTCCCTGGCTCTCCCCACAACTGCTCTCCAGTCAAGGGAGCCCCTCCCACTTCAGTGTTCATCTCTGGCTCCCCAGGTCTGCCTGACACCAAATCTTCCAGGAGCAAGCCCACAGCAAGGTTTGCTTACATACATGGCCTCCTCCAGCCCACTCAGAATTGGCCCCTTGAACCCCTGACCCACGTCCTGTATGGATGGGGAAGCATGCTTTCTAGATGAGTGGGCTGAGTGGCAGAAAGAGGAACATGGAGGCTTTTCCAGGGTCTCCTCGTGAGTCAGTCTGCACAGCTGGCCGCAGACCCGAAGCCCGGTGATTCATGTAGCCACTAGAGGCCTCAGCTGCGACAGACAGCTCACCAGCCTCGGCTGTCTGTGAATCATCCCTTTGCTTCAGGGGCCTGACCCTTGGAGCCAAAGGGACCTCACCTCTCAGTTATTCTCTTGTTCACCTGTATTTGTGACCTTCACACCTCCAACAAACAAGGAAAGACAGCCAGACCCCAGCTCCCGGGCTGACAGGGCTCATAATACTAGAGTACCTTGATTGCACATATTGAGGCTCCTCAGACCCAGAGGATCAAGAACCCCAGAAGCCGGGGCTCTTCATTTGAATGTTCTGTACGTGTGTGAGCCAAGGAGAAAGCACTAGGTCGCCAGAGGGCTCCACCCACAGAGAATTCTGAGACCCGCATTGTTGACTGGATTCGACCTCAGACTGGAATAGCAATTGGCAGAAGCAAATGCTGTTTTCTAAGAGACTTGCCCAACTTTTCCATCTGCCCTGGGGAGCTTGTGCCAGAGACCACGACAAGGCACAACTGGGACCTCTCTCCAAGGGCCCAAATGGAAGTTGGGCTCCCTGTAAGAAGCCTCACATGGCACTCATGAGAGTTGGGCTCCGTGATGGGGCTTTTAAGAAACCAGGGCTCTAGTTCTATCAGTGAGCCTTTGGGTACCTGGTGTGCCAGGCACTGCTGGGAGAGCAGATTAATGCGGCCTTCACTAATGTTCCTCAAGGAGCCGGGAAGGTGCACGGCCACCCTGGAGTTCGTCTGTGTTGTCCCAGGAAGGACAGGGCACTGGGAAGGCCAGGGGAAGAAGACCAATTGAATCAGAGAAAACTAGAAGGTGGAGCTTATGCAGACTGTAGTCCAGTACTGTTTAGAAACCGAGTTACTAAGGTTCTGTTGATTCAAGCACAGTGCTGATGTTCAGGGAGAAAATGGTGTGATTGGAAAGAAAGATGGGCTTAGGGCAGATGGCAGTTCTGTTGCGCTTCCCCTGAGGGAGATGCAGAGCATGTGGACAGCTATCCCTGGGGTCTGCGTGGACCACTGGGGTAGCAGTGTGAAAATGCGGCAGGAGGAATGTGTTTTTGGAAGAGGGGATGCGAGGTCTAAGAGGAGGCTCGTAGGCCTCCCCCCTCCCCGGCCGGGGGGGAAGGGGCTTCACCTTTTGGGTCCAGTGCTCTTTCACTTGCAGGCCTCTCCTGTGTCTCACCTCACAGGTGCCCCGGGGATCCTCAGAGCTGCTCTTCTCTTCCGAGGCTCAGCTACTTAGCTCACCTGCCTCTTTTGGAACTGCTTCCACCCACCACAGCCACATCTGTCTGCCCACAGATGCGTCCCTCTGCACAGGGAGAATCCTGAACCCAAATTTCTCCACAAGCCTCAGGGCCCCCAGGGGCACACAGGCTGTGTCATCTGGAGCTCAGCTTTTCCAGCCTTTTCCATAGGCTGGCATTGCCCCGCAGGAGCATGATTGCTGTCTCCAAATATCAGAGCCACTTTCAGCTCTGGGGAGTAGGAGGCGCTGATTCCGAGTCCAGTGTAAGCTGTTAAGATCTGACTTCCTCTCCCGCAAGGACTTTGTAGGAAGGGTGCAGCTAGCTAGCATAGACATGGTAGTAGTAATGGTGGTGGTGGTGGTGGTCTGTGTGTATCCATTCAGAGTAAGATAAGGATTTTCCTTAAGCCTCATTGAGCCTCTCCAGTGACTTGCTCTCCAGCTCTCTAAAGGAAGTATCTGGGCTACCTGAGACTCCTAGCCTGCTAGCTGGATGGTCAGAAGCCTCAGGATCCCCTCTCTTTCCTCTCCCAGGCGAGGCTGGCACTCTATGCTACCTCATATGTACGCCCCTGACTCTGTTCCCCGCCTCTCTGCTACAGATGCAATACCTGGATTCCATAGACGGTGAAGACCTGCTACTGACAGGGGAGGTGAGCTGGCGCCCTCTGGTGGAGAAGAATCCACAGAGCATCCTGAAGCCTCAGACTCCCACTTACAATGATGAAGGTCTGTGAGGGCCGGATCCTCCAGACAATTGGCCAGCTGGCTTTGAGGAACCTTGGTCGAGAGAAGTACTGTTTGATCCAAGATTCCATAGAGATTAGCCTGAACTGACCTTTGAACAGCATCTGTCAAATACCTGGTCCTATTTGTGTTGTTTCCTCTTCCTGTGTCCTGGAGGCTGACCTGGTGGGGCAGAGCTGAGAACCCCTAGCTCTTCGGAGGTGTCCTCTCCTTCGAGAGGAGTCCCAAGCAAGAGCTTCCCAGTACACACTCCCTCCAGCCACCACATTGACTGAAGAAAGGCTGGGTAGGTTGGAATGGGAGATGCTCCTAAAAAGGCCTGCTGTACCTAGCTGTTGGCAATGCTGCAGAATCAAGTCAGGGTAGCCACACTGTCCCCAGCCTTGAGCCACGGGGCTGAGTTGGTCATTAAAAGAAACAGAGATGTCATCTCTGCCATGGCGCTTCTTTGTCCAGGGGCTTTGGAACTCAGGTGAGGTGATGGGTGTGGGAAGCTAAGAGCGCTGCCCAGCTCAGTGACAAGAAGAGGGCGAGGTCAGGCTCTGGCCTCCACTTCTCAGAGAGGGGTCACCCTCTGACCGCAGCACAGCTTGCCAGGCTCATCTTTGGGATCCAGAAGGCCTCTGGTGGCCAGTGGTCTCATCACACCCTAAGCCATTTAGAAGTAGGCCTCAAGGACAAAGGACCCTTTGTCACCCGCAGCAAGCTGGGCAAGAAGCACATGCTGCCCTTCTTCTCTTGGTCTTCCCCTATATGAGATACTGAGGTGAAAAGAACGTTCTTTCTGGCTTCGTTGTACTCTACCAGGACCCAGCCCTATGTCTAGCTTTCTACCCTCTTCCCCAACTTCCAGAATGTGTTCAGAGCCACCTGAACTGGGCACTCAAACATCAGTCCCTTTCCTTCTCTCTCTCTCTCTCTCAGTATGGGTCATCTCTTGGGGATTTTTTTTTTTAATTGAGCAAAGGGGGAAGGGAACCATCTTGCCCTCCCTCCCCCATCAGCTTCCTTCATTGAACTTGCTATAAAATGAGTCATATAAAGAAACTCTATACGGGTGAGGTATATCCCACTTCTGTGAAAACATTACAAATCAAACTGCCTTCTCTCGGTTTATTTAAGATGCTTTTGTTGCAAGCAGAGCTCTCGAGTGAAGCCTCCTCTGTGTATGTGAGATAATAACACCTTGTAACTCATTACAGCTGGGCACTATTTACATAAACCAGAGCTGAGCCAGGCAGGAATTTGCTGATTAATTTATTTTTAATGGAGTGAAGTATACCATGCACCAAAATAAACTTTACTGTGTGTACCTAACTGCTCCTGGAATGGATGGAAAAATTAATGGAACAGATTTTGGCTCCCAACTCTGCACATTAATTCATATATAAAAGTTATTTGAGCATTAACCCATTTGCTGCCCAGGGCAGCCCCCTAGCCTCAAATCCCAGCCCCAGACACCAGTTTAGCTACCGGGCTTACTTTAGAATTATGAAACCTCATATTGAGGAAGAACTTGAAAGGTCATTTGGGCCAGCACTGGTCCAAGCCTGACTGGCCTTCATAGCACCTGGGATGGCGTGTGTTCAGGCAGACCCTTGACTGACTCCCTCCCTCCAGTCACAGATAGACAGTTCTTGTTGCAGACCAGGCAGACCCAGCAACTTGTAACATGCAGCCAGCGCTTGAAGGAGCCAGATTGGAGCTGTCATGTCTGTCATGGTCTAGAGCCCTCACTTGTGGCTCTCAGGGTCTGTCACCGCTCACCTACTCCCCTTCCTCAGCTGAGATAAAACCAGGTATCCTGCCTGGGAGGTCTTGGGCTGTTTGACCTCTGTCCCTATTCCAGCCTATGTTTATGAGTCTAATCGATTTCTTTCCTAACCATCTGAACCCCCTGGCGTTACCTGGGAGCCTGCTGTGTTGCCTTTCCCTGGAACTCCTCATCCTTCCCCTGCTGACTAGAGAGAGCCCAGGCTTCCTCAGCTGTCACCTCCCGAGACCCAGGCACTGCCCTCTGCGGTCTGAGGGCTCCCGACAACGTCTGCTCACTTAGCACTTCCTTGCAATGCTAAGGTGATTTTCTTTAAGTAGTTCTATAAAAGGGTTTCCATTCAACATGTCAGTTTATGAGTACAGTGCATCTTTTTTTTTTTTTTTTGGGTCCGGTCGTGGGGCCTGAACTCTGGGCCTGGGCGCTGTCCCTCAGCTCTTCAGCTCAAGGCTAGCGCTCTACCACTTGAGCCACAGCGCCACTTCCGGCTTTTTTTTTCTTATGTGGTGCTGAGGAATCGAACCCAGGGCCTCAGGCATGCAAGGCAAGCGCTCTACCACTGAGCCACCTTCCCAGCCCGTACAATGCATCTTGATCAAAGTCACCCCTCTGAGGTGATTTTTTTTTTTCATGCCCATCTCCCATACAACTCCCATGCAGCTGAGTGATACTGAGGGGACACCGTGTTGGAGTGGGTGACCCGTGCTTTCCAGAGGGGACACCGTGTTGGAGTGGGTCACCCCTGCTTTCCTGAGTCTGCATCCATGGATGCTCTGCTTATACATTGGTAAATTCAATACCAGTACAAGCTCAGTATAAACTTTCTGGACCACTTGCAGTCTGATCTTCAGTTCCACTTACTTTAACAGTCCTTGCACAGGTCTGAAACCAAAATCAAAGGCTGTAACTAAATGGCTTCCTATCATAAATCATTACACAAAGCAAGAAAAGGACATGATTTCTTGCCCCCCACCCCCACCCCCAGAGATTGTTCATTAGGAATGATTTTGTCATTTATTTGACCCAGAAAGGATCACAGCAAATTGAGAGTTAGTTATAATAAAACCAGGAAAGCATTGTGAAGCAAAGGTTGCAAGATAAAAGTATTGTGAGGGAAGGGAAGGAAAATAATCCTATTAACAACCCTAGACTGCTAATCATGACTTTTTTGGTAATTTCTTAAAATTACCACCAAAATTTTGGTAATTTTAAATGCATTGTCTTAACCACAGTCTTATAAAACAGGTCTTATCCTCCGTTTGACCAACCCTTGTCCACAAGGCAGGGGACAAAAGACTCAGAGAGGTCTACAAAGTTATACAAGATTCCTTCACACCATGTGACCCCGGGACGCTGCTCTTTCCCCAGACCACATTGCCTCCCTCAGGCCAGCAAGGAGACCTGCAGCTGGTACAAAATTTTACTCTGAGCTTCTTGGCAGCCAAAGGTAGAAAAGAGAAAGCATTAAGTGTATGTCATTCTTACTGTCACATAAAAAGAAGCCTGATTCACCAGAAACCGTAAATAATTTACTCTTCAGAGGAGAGAAATGAGGTGTTAGGTTTTCACATGAGAAACCCTGAACAATGAAGTGAACTACTAAGATTTCAGTTTGGGCTGGGAAGGTGGCTCAGTGGTAGAGTGCTTGCCTTGCATGCATGAAGCCCTGGGTTCAATTCCTCAGCACCATCCTGAGTTCAAGCCCCATGACTAGCAAAAAAAAAAAAAAAATTCAATATGATCTAAAAATGTTAAAAATTGCTGTTCAGTGTCTGCTCTGTGCCAGATATAGCTCAGAGCTGTCACTTGTTAGCTATCTCATTTAATCCTCTGTGACAATCCTGCCAGGTATTACAAGTTCATGTTACAGCTGGAGGAAACAAGATTTGCTGAGGGAAGGCCTAAATTGGCTCTGCTTGCATGCTCGGAGCCTCAAGCCTTCTGCTTCTACTTCAAGATAGAGAAAGGAGCACTTGCACTGCAGTTAAGAAGAAACCCATACCAGCCCATGCTGGTATGTGCATAATCACAACTAACTGGAAAAATCACAAGTGGGTTGGAAGTCAAACAAGCCCTGATGCAGTCAGGTCAGAAAGAAGTTGAAAAGTTAGGGAGGTAGAAAGCAGGGATGAGGGGCTGTCCAGGTGAAGACATGGGACATGAGCTCTTCACAGGATTGCTCAGGGAGGGAAAGGATACAGAGATCAGGGCTTTGAGCAAGGCAACAGGAAGATACTAAACGCTCTCAGTAAAGATTGTGGTTTAAAGCTGGGTACAGGTACTCACGCCTGCAATCCTAGCTACTCTGGAGGCTGAGATCTGATGATCACAGCTTGAAGCCAGCCTGAGTAGGAGACTCCTATTTCCTGTTAGCCACAAAACAAAAACAAAAAAAAAATCAGGAAGTAGAGCCGTGGCTCAAGTGGTAGAGCCCGAGCCTTGAGCAAAAAATGCTCATGGGCAGTGTCCAACCCTTGAGCTCAAGTCCCAGGACACACACACACACACACACACACACACACACACACACACACACTTACATGATTGTGGCTTGACAGGAGCAGAAATTCACAGGGAAGATGAGCCCAGCCAGGAAGAGAGTCTATAAGCCATCTAGGCTTGGGGTTCTGGGGCTAAGTAGGGATTCAAAGGAAAGTTCAAATCACAGACCTTTCAGAGGAAAAGATTCCTCAAGATGACATCTAACTGCTCAAGGTGCTAAAGAACAGTCAAGAGTTCTCTGGGGCCAAGGATGGTGCTGTGAGAAGCTTCTTTGTATTGTTTTTCCCACGTGGCCTACAGCAGCCTGTGAAGACAGGCAGGGCAGCCTGAGAAAAAGAAGACCTGAGACCCTTGCTGGGTAGTGTCCAGGAAGGGAGAGACAACAGTGTTGGTGCTAAAAGGCACTTGGAAAACTGCTCAACCATCATTTGACAGGTAGAGAGGGGGCTGGGCTGTGAGAAGCCTCACTCCAGATCACAGGGACCAGAATCCATGGACTGACAGTTCCTCTTTCCCTTTTTGTCAGCCAAGGAAGTTCTTCCAACTCCCAGCCCCTCGCTGAGAACGAGCCTGCCAAAAGGGCTGTCTCTAGCTGAGCGGGGGACACGGTTCTTAGGTGGTGGTCATGAGTACTAAATCGCAAATACTTGGTTTCTACATCAGTTTATTCTATGGCTTATAATTATTTATGAGTCTACCTTCCTCATCAGGGCAGACATCAACTCTTACTCATCTTTGAACCCCACTGCTGGCTTAAAGTAGGCGTTAAATCCCTGGTGGGTGGATTGGACTGAGGGAGAAGAGCAGGTAGGGTGGGCGAGGTGGCTGTAAGATCCAAGGGGGGCTGGGAAGGTGGCTCAGTGGTAGAGTGCTTGCCTTGTATGCTGGGTTTGATTCCTCAGCACCACATACACTGAAAAAACTGGCAGTGGCGCTGTGGCTCAAGTGGTAGAACACTAGCCCTGAGCTGAAGCGCTGAGGGACAGCACCCAGACCCAGAGTTCAGGCCCCACTACTGACAAAAATAAATAAAGCCAAGGGGGTCAATAGGCAATGATACCTCTTACTCCTCTCAAGTTCAAAGCGGACTGAAAAATAATATAAAAGAGCCAAATGGATATCCAACTAGTAGCTTTACCAATATTATTGGTAAAGGTTACATTTTGGCTGGGTGCTGGTAGCTCAGGCCTATAATCCTAGTTCTTCTGGAGGCTGAGATCTGAGGAGTGAGGTTCAAAGCCAAATGGCTAAGAGTCTCAGTCCTTATACAAACAGGAAACAAGTGGAGCTGTGGCTCAAGTCATCAAGCACTAGCCTTGAGCAGAAAAGCCCAGGGATAGCATCTAGACTCTTTGAGTTCAAACCCCAGGACTGATACATGTACACGCACACACACAAAGTTAGGTTTTGTTCAATAGCCAAATGAACTTAGCAATATCCTCCCAGAACTAGACATCCTGTCATCCTGTCCTCCAATGAAAGGGTAGACCTTTGCCTTGCAGGATTTCCTGTGTTCATCTTTGTCTAGAATAGGACTAGTGACAGAGCGGGGAGGAGAGGAGTGAGGGCATGGAAGAGGAGCCTCCAGGTCACACCTCCCCTCCCAGCCCTCCTCTTGTGGAAGTGGAAGAGGGATGCATTTCCCACCGCTGAAGGGGATGAGCGGATGGGAGCACAGGGTGGAGGGGAGGAGGATGTGGGCAAAAGCATGAGACCTATCATCACTACATAGACCTAGACCTTTTTGAACCAGAACATTAATATGTCCAGTCAGTGTGCTGGGGGGTATGTGGACTCAAGTGTGTGCATATGTATACAGAAGGAGACAAGATGTTCCCTATGAGCTGCGATGAGAGGCCAGATCCCCAAGGGGGTGGCAGTGATAGGGCCAGTTTTCAGTCTGGAAGGACCAAGAATAGGAGCAGCTGGTTATCGCCTTATCTGTACTGGGCCTGTGACCTTTCACAGACTGCAAAACTCTGAAATTCAACAGCTACTGAGCAACTACTCTCAATCAGATTAGCACAATTATTACAACTGAATGAAGAAAACTTTAGAGATGCAACTCCTATGATTCAGAGGACTTGACCTCCTTCATTAAGTAGCAGAACCATTGTTCCAACCAGGAGGCTCTGATTCAGTCCAGTGGCACAACTGTAGTCACTGGGTCCCAAGCCCTGGGGGGGGGGGAGGGGGGAGCGGGAATCTCAGGATAAGAGAACTCTGAATAGTGGCCTCCTGAAGACCTATGTGGTTCTCTGTAAACAGTGAGTCATTCGTTGGAGCTGCTTCTGGGAGGCTGGGGCTTTGGGCCACTCTTCCCCTTGAGGCTGCTTCCTGCTATCCTAAAACACTGTTTTGGAACCTTCCCAACTTCTGTATCATCACGCATAGCAAGGCCCTTCGGCTCCAAGGGCCTTCCTACCAGCATGTTGCCCTACATCTCAGGCGCCATCTTCCTTCTACAGCATCCTGGCTTTCTTCCTCCATCCTATAATACCCTGCTTGCCATTCTACGCTGCATTTCCTCATCTTTGTGAGTTTTTCTTTTGGGGGGAGGTTCGGTCCTGAGGCTTGAACTGGGAGCCTGGGCACTGTTCCTGAGCTTTTTTGTTCAGCACTACACTCTACCACTTTGAGCCACAGTGCTACTTCAGATGCTGGTGGTTAATTGGAGATAAGAGTCACATGGACTTCCCTGCCTGGGCTGGCTTCCAGCTGCTGAGTAGCAGATCTCAGCCTCCTGAGTAGCTAGGATTACAGGTGTGAGGCACTAGCACCTGGCTCATCTTTGTGTTTTAGACAAGATCATAATGTGTAACCCCATCCAGACTCCAAGTTGAGCTCTTTCTGCTTCAGCCTCCTGAGTATTGGAATTACAAGCAGTACCACCATGCTCAACAACAACAAAATCTTCCTCATCTTTACTATCTAGCTCAAGCTAGTCTTGGGACTTCTTACCACATGTCCCTTTCTCTCTCTAGCTCTTGGATCAGGGCGCTGGGTGCACTCTGGCTGTCCCTGACCCCGAGATGCCACATTGAAAGTGAGGGACAGTGTAACATTAGAGCAACTTGCAGCTGCAAGTGCCTGCACCAGCCTCAGCTCCCATCACCTCCACACAACAGACACCGGCCCAGGCGCCACTCAGCTTGGGGTAGACAACAGACAAGGCTAAATGGCCCCTAGCAAGGCCCAGCAATGCCAGGTAGGCGCCTGACACACCCTCTGGACAGGGAAATATTTTCCTTCCTCTTAATAACAATCATTAAGGGGCCTATGCCCTACTGCTGTGCAGCCAGGGGCCGGGCTTGCGTCTGCCCCTCACCCTGGGCAGCTCCAAGGTCAGGATCCACCTGCCTACCTTCTCATTGCCCTTTATCTACTCAGCCGCAAGAAGCCAGTCCTGCAGTTCTGGTGGGACTATTATTGCCATGATGTCAGGAACTCCTGGGACCCTCGTCCCCTCCACTCAGTCTTTCCACACTTGACCCTCTCCATGGAGCTCCCTGTACATACACTCAATACTGGAGACCAGAGTCACAGGCCAGAGCCAGACTCAGCACACAAACACCTTCACAGGCGGCCTGTGCTCACACACAGCCTAGCAGGCACGCAAATGTCACCGACAGTATGTACACATACAGCCCAGCACAGGTGCAGCGCTGCAGATGTATGTATGTACACAATGTATATTTAATTGAAACTTAGGAAATGGTCAGTTTTTGATTTCTCTTCAGGTAGTTGTACAAAAGAGTTGCCATGTAACAAAGAAAGCAGTTTATGAGTATAAAATATCTCAGTGTTATCCCTTTCAATGTTCCCCCCATCCCTCCCCTACCTACCCTGTCCCTCACTCTTCTTAATTTTGTAGAATATGCATTGGATAATGATTTTTTTTGTCAGTCCTGGGGCTCGAACTCTGAGCCTGGGCACTGTCCCTCAGCCACAGTGCTACTTGCAGCTTTTTCTTTGTGTATGGTACTGAGGACTCGAACCCAGGGCTTCATGCATGCTAGGCAAGCACTCTACCACGAAGCCACATTCCCAGCCCTGATTTTTTTATTTGGTTGGTTGTGGGGCTCGAACTCTGAGCCTAGGCGCTCTTTAGCTCAAGGAGAGCGCTCTACCACTTCTTGTTTTCTCATCGTTAATTGGAGATAAGAGTCTCATGGACTTTCTTGCCTGAGCTAGCTTTGAACCATGTTCCTCAGATGTCAGCTTCCTGAGCAGCGAGGATTACAGGCATGAGCCACCAGGGCCTGGCTTGCTAATGATTTTAAAACTTACAAAATGTGATTCTTTTTAACTTACAAAAATGTATTGCATACAAATGAGGACAGAGCCAATTTTGTACATCTATGTTCTACTAGCATTATTTACAAGAGCCAAAAAATGGAAACAGTTCAAATGTCCACTAGTGGATATACAAAATACAGGGGAATATTATTTGGCTATGGAAGGAAATTTTGACACAGTGCCTGGTAGGTAGTTTTAGTTTTCTAAGATGAAGAGTTCTGCCGGTAAGTGGTGGTGGTCTAAATGTGCTTAATGTCACTGAAAAACATTCCAGATGATTAAATGAAAAACATTGCAATTGATTACCAGAATTAAAATAAGACACAGAGCCAAAATATGTACCATAAGGTTGGCATACACAACAGTGACAACCACAACTGAGCAACACAAAACATACCTGCTTCTCTACCAGGGAAGCCCTTCTTCAACTCAGGTAAGACCTGAGTTCTCCCCTTCAAACAAGTTTGGAGATAAGGCCCTAATGAGGGCCTTGCCACTTCTGCTGCCCCCACAGCTCATCCTCCTCCCACAGTCTGGCTTTGTTTACCCAACTCTCCACCACTCCTGTAGCCTCCCTACTCCTACAGAAAAACCCTAGTTTCTGTCCCTGTACAGGACAGAGTAATTTCAGGATAGAGTAATTTCAGCCCCTGTGGCTCCCTTATGTCTTCCTTGGGGCTCCCTGCATCTGTGTCTTACCTCTCATGCCATGCCATGCTGTGCTGTCCCAGAAGAACCTGTGAGGATCTGGGACAATTGCAAAGCAAATGAACTGAACAAGGTGAGAGAGATAGGTGTGGGGCATTAATCTGCCCACCTCTGAAATCACCTTTCCCATTTGAACCATTTAATATTCAGCCCTATAGGATAGAATGAGATCTGGAGTTAGCTCCTACCAGGCCAAGAGCACCCTTGAAGATGTTGGAAATGCAGCCATCTGGAACATGATATCTGAGGGGTGGGCTATAGTTCTCTTAGCCCTGTGCATGGGGGAGCATGCAGGACTTGCATTAAAGGTATTCCGCAGACCTTCTGGCTCAGTCTAGGGGTGGAGCCTGGGGCATGTGCATTCCAATGTGTCCTGGCCATTCTGGGGACCAAGGTGAGCATATCTACACCAGGCCCTGGATGAGAGGCTCAGAGAGGAAGCGAGGGTGGGGCTGGGGGCCTTCAACACTGCGGAGCAGAGAAGCAGGGGCCAAATGTGGGGTTATGGCCAGCTCTGCATTATAGTGTTTGGGTCAGCTGATACGAGTTAGTTTGGTCTGCATGTGTCAGTCACCCTGTAGACTGTCTGCATATTGGTCATGTGTCAGTCATACTATCTGCTTGTGTGTGTGTGTGTGTGTGTGTGTGTGCGCACGCACGCGCGTGCCAGTACTGGGGCTTGAATTGTTTGTGGTTTCTTTTGCTCAAGGCTGGCACTCTACCACTTGAGCCACAACTCCACTTCTATCTATTTATTGGTTACTTGGTGATATAGAGTCTCTGGTTTGTATACCCAGGATGGCTTCAAATAAGGATCCTCTGATCTAGCCTCCTGAGTACCTACGATTGCAGATGGGAGCCACCAGTGGCCAGTAGTGCATCGGGGTGTCTTGAGCCATTCATCGATTGTGCAGTATGCATGTGTGTGTGCATGCTTTTGTGACTCGGAGCAGGCCCAGCACCCTGGTCTGCCTCTGCTGGTCCCTAGAAAGTTGAGGTTGCAGGCTTGCTAGGAGCCCGGTGGGATGGGTGTGTTGCCTGGGCGGGGAGGAGAAAGGTAGGAGGAAGCAGTGTGCGCTCAGGACCTGGCCCTGCGGCTTCCCTGGGCAGGCGAGTCCCAACAACAGGCAGACAGGTGAGGCTGACCTGACAGGTTCCCGAGGCCAGGGGCAATGGGGCGGAGCATGGCTCTAACTTAGGGAGGAAGCGAGTTGGGGGCCCTGCCACACACAGGCAGGCTGTGGTTGTGCTGGAATCTTCTTCCTGCTGCCGCAAAGCCAGGGGCAAGTCATGGAGTCTACTGGCGGGTGAGGCACTCAAGGTGCAGGCACTCGGAGGCCCAGGGCATGGCGGGGCCGCTACGGGGCCGGGTGGAGGAGCTGAAGAGGCCTTGGTGGCGGGAAAGCTCACCACTGGTGTTGCAGCACAGCGAGGCAGCTCGGCTGGCCGCGGATGCCCTTCTGGAGCGGGGTGAGGCTGCTTACCTACGGGTCATCTCTGAGGAACGGGAGCTGCCCTTCTTGAGCGCCCTGGACATGGCCTACATGACCAGTCATGTGCGTGGAGCGCCTGAGCTCAGCGAGGCCCCGGGACCGGAGGCCTCGGGACCTGACCGCCTCAGCCTGCTCTCTGAAGTCACCTCAGGAACCTACTTTCCCATGGTTTCTGATGTAGATCCCCCAGACCTAGACCTGGGCTGGCCTGAGGTTCCACAGGCCACAGGCTTCAGCCCCACCCAGGCTGTGGTCCACTTCCAGAGGGACAAAGCCAAGAGCATCAAAGACCTGCTGCGTTTCCTCTTCAGCCAGGCCCGCACGGTAAGGGTCTGGTCCGTTCATTTCACGGATGTGGGGAGTGGGGGGAGGAAATAGGGACAAGCTCAAAAGACCTCCACGGCAGAACTGGGACAGCTCTGACCTCTTAGGTCACAAGCTGCTAAGACAGAGTGTCTTTTATTCCCCTTCTCACGCCTCAGCAGGCAAGAATATACAGGTAAAGAGCAGGCATGCACCTCCAGGACTCCATACCACCGCTGACAATGCATATGGAATTGAGTGAATTGCAGGGTCCATATGCATTTTTCTTAGGAATCCATAACCTTCCTCAGATTCCCTAAATTTTATGAGCCCCAAATTAAGGATGTTTTTATTAGCATATATATATATATATATATTTTTTAATTTTTGTCTATAATGGGGCTTGAACTCTGGGCCTGGACGCTGCCCCTCAAGCTCTTCAGCTCAAGCTGAGTGCTCTATCACTTGAGCCACAGCGCCACTTCTGGTTTTCTGGTGATTTATTGGAGATAAGAGTCTCACGGACTTTCCTGCCCAGGCTGGCTTTGAACCACAATCTTCAGATCTCAGCCTCCTGAGTAGCTGGGATTACTGGCGTGAGCCACCAGTTCCCAGCTTATTAGCTTTATATTAGTTATCCATAGAAGGCTCTCAAGGAAAACCTAACATCTGAGCTACCTCCTTGACTTACAAAGGAGGAAACCAAGGCCAGGAAGAGGCTGAGAATTGCCCCCTGGGAAGTTACCTGGTTATACTCTCAGAGAGGGAAGGAGTTCTCTGACTCAGACTCTGAGCCCTAGGCTCGGCCTCCTTCTGCTGGCCCTTACACCTGGCTATCCCTCACTATCCTGTGCCGCATCTTCAGCTGGACCTGAATCAGGGCAAGGGGGGAATGGGCAGCAAGGGCCGATGCATAGGCTTCTGCAGGACCTGGAGGGCTAAGGGCTTAGCCTTGCACCAAGGAATGAAGCAGAAGCTTCTGGGCTCAAGAGGAAGAGAAGCGATCACGAGAGCGTGTAGATGGACATGCCTGGGAAGGCTCCAGGCAGTACACCTCCACGATGATCCTCTGAGCCCTGCTCAAGAGACAGGGGGAACAGACACAATGGCCTCTGGTAGAATCTGAGATAGGAATGGCCTGCTGCAGAGACCAAGAGCCCAGGATGCCACGATCCTGCTGCTCCCTCCACAGCCTCGCTGGCAAGCCTGCCTCTACCCCAGGCGGGGGAGTGCTGGGCGCGATTGGCATCGGGAATGGGGTAATTAGTGGGGTTGTTGTCCTCACTGTCTCCCTTTGATCTTTCCTGCCTGTCCTGCCCCCTTCCCCCATTCCTGGCCCCAACCTGTGCCATGGCTAGGACATCCCCGATGCCTTCCCTGTTCTTCCCCATTTAGACCCTTCTGCCCCTGGGCTAGGAGCCAGGCTCTTGCACTGGGCTATCACGAGGCCCAGAGTGACCTTAACTACTTCCTCCCTGTTGCCCAATGTCTTCATTTACTGAGAAGGCAGCAGGAAGGTATATGTATTGAGCTTCTGCTGTCTGTTCAGCATTTTCACATATAATTCCTGTAACTCTGAGATATAGCTGTCACTGTCCACGTAGCAAATGAGGCTCCTGGAAGCAAAGCCACTCCCCCAAGACCTTAGCTCTAGGAAGTGGTAGTGTTTGGGTTTGAATCCAGTTCTCTCTTGTTCCTTCCATAGCTGCAGTGCTGAGTTCTGTATGTCCCCCCCAGCCTTCAGGCCCATCTCAGGAGGGAACCTTTAGCAAATATATGCAATAGGAAGAAAGGGCGACTGGAGAGGCAAGTGTTTGGATAGTAGAACTGATATGGGCCTTGGGGGGGGGAGGGGCGCAACCCTAGCCTGCAGCTGAGTAGAAAACTTGGTTCCAGGGCTGGGAAGGTGGCTCAGTAGTAGAGCGCTTGCCTTGCATGCATGAGGCCCTGGGTTCAATTCCTTAGCACCACATAAGCAGAATAAGCTGGAAGTGGTGCTGTGGCTCAAGTGGTAGAGTGCTAGCCTTGAGCTGAAGAGCTGAGGGACAGAGCCCAGGCACAGAGTTCAGGCCCCATGACAAAAAAAAAAAAAAAAAAAAAAGCTTGGTTCCACTTAGAATGGTGAAAGTCAGGGAGACGTGTGTCATGTCAGCCCTTCACAGCTTCACAGGCCAACCAAGGCAGCATGGCAAAGCCCGGGTCCTCCGGAGCTTTGCCATGCTGCCTTGGTTGGCCTGTGAAGCTGTGATGGGATGCAGACATCTTTGACAATTTGATGACAAACTGTACACACACACACACACACACACACACACACACACATTTTCAAACTATCAGGGATTCAAGACTGTTCTTTTATCAGTCGTGGGGCTGAACTCTGGGCCTGGGCGCTGTCCCTCAGCTCTTCAGCTCAAGGTGAGCACTCTATCATTTGAGCCACAGCGCCACTTCCAGCTTTTTCTGCTTATATGGTGCTGAGGAATCGAACCTAGGGCCTCTTGCATGCAAGGCAAGCACTCTACCACTGAGCCACTTTCCCAGCCCCAAGGCTGTCCATTCTTCACTCATATCCAAGTGAAGAACTCTGGACTCGGCATTGCTAACATCCCATTGTGGGCACATGTTCCTACAGGTTGTGGCCTCTGAGTTTTCAGTCCCATACTTTTGCCTAGAAGCTGGCACGTGCTGAGCTCTCTGTCTCTCTCCCAGGTGGTGGCTGTGGTGATGGACATATTCACCGACATGGAGCTGCTGTGTGATCTCATGGAGGCCTCCAGCCGGCGTGGTGTCCCTGTCTACCTCCTCCTGGCTCAAGAGCACTTACAGCACTTCTTGGAGATGTGCTACAAGATGGACCTCAATGGGGGGCACTTGCCGGTCAGTGCGGGCCAAGGGCAGGGAATCAGGAAGGCAGAAAGACCCGTTGGTAGTCGTCAGTGAGCACTGGGGGAATTGCTGGAAATGGCACACTGGGTTCTCTTAGCTGTTTGAGGTCACAGGCTCCTTGGGGCATACACATGGCTTGAGCTCCACTGTCTGAACATGACCCTCTCAACTTCTGTCCACCCTTGGCCCAGAACATGCGTGTGCGAAGCACGTGTGGGGACACGTACTGCAGCAAGGCAGGCCGCCGCTTCACAGGGCAGGCCCTGGAGAAGTTTATCATCGTCGACTGTGAGCAGGTGGTGGCGGGCAGCTACAGGTAAGCAAATGAGTGGGAGAGGGGCCGAGGCTGTGCTCTGAATGTTTCTCCATCCATGCCTTCAAACATATCCCAGGGGTTGGGAAGGTGGCTCAGTGGTTGAGTGCTTACCCTGGGTTTGATTCCTCAGTACCACATACACAGAAAAAGCCAGAAGTGGCTCTGTGGCTCAAGTGGTAGAGTGCTAGCCTTGAGCAAACAGAAGCTCAGGGACAGTGTCAAGGCCCTGAGTTCAAGCCCCAGGACTGGCAAAAAAAAGCACCAAAAAACAAAAACATGTCCCAAGCACCTTCTGTGTGCTAAGGTTACCAGGCAGGGTTCAGGTGGCTAAGGGAGTAAGTTGGGCTTGGAGGCGGCCACTGTGGTGGAAGATTCCTTTGAATGCCCTTAGCTTAGGAAGTAACTGTTGCGTGTGGGACATGAAGAGACTTTGGGATGTCTCAATCCTGGTTTACTTTACAGATGGGGGAAGTGGGGAACTTGAGGTGGGGCAAGCATGTGCCTAAGCATTCAGGTCAGGTCAGGACCAGGAGACTCTGGGGTCAGAGCTCTGCCCCTTCACCAGGAGTGTTGATGGATTCTTGGCCCATTTCTAACCCTGCCCTCCTGTCTGGCACTACACTTTGCACTTGTGACCCCTTCTCTTCTGTCCTCAGCTTCACCTGGCTTTGCAGCCAGGCCCATACCAGCATGGTGATGCAGCTGAGGGGGCGCATCGTGGAGGACTTCGACCGCGAGTTCCGCTGTCTGTATGCCGAGTCCCAGCCGGTGGAGGGTTTCAGTGGCAACGAGGATCTACTGTCTCCCCACGCACGACACCCTCCCCCAGTGGCCCTGACCTTGGGGCCTGGTAACCCAAGCCCCACGTGTTCCTCGCCCTCTGGCACCAGCTTCAGCAGTGTCAAGTGCTCACCTCTCGTGGGCCGTTCCTCCTACCTGGCTCTACCAGGAGGTGGTGGCTGCAGCGACAAGGGTATGGGATCCTCATCACCAGGCCCTGCCCGCCGGGAAGCTGGTGGCCAGCCCTCTCTGCATCGCCAGCTGTCAGACCCTAACCAAGGCTCCCATCCTGGGCCCTATAGGGCTAACCTGGGCAAGCTGGGAGCATCCCCCTGGTCCCAGTCTTCCCCTGCCCTCAACCACAGTACTGCCACTTCTTCAACTGCGGCAATGAGGTCACCTCTTCTCCCTAGTCCCCGACCCCTTCTCCACTTCTCTCGGGGGGCCCCAGCCCTGTCACAGCTCCCAGAGAATGGGCTCCCAGGGAGCCAGGAGCCCAACCTCCCACGAGGCCGCTGGGCATTTGGCACAGCCCTACAGACAGTGGAGGAGAAGGCTTCTCTGAGTCAGAGCCATGGTCAGCTGGACCTCCTTGTCCCCTTTGCTAGAGCCCGAGAAACAGGAGGAACTGATTCTGAGGTTACTCCCAACTCAAGTTCTGTACGACCTAGTGAGCAAGTCCCAGATGGCAGGCGGTTGTCCCTGAGCCGGAGCTACAGCCACCTGGATCTCCTGTCTCCAGGCAAGGGAGCTGGTGTTGCTGCTGAGTCAAGTTCCCTCAGACCTGCTGGTCCAGGTTCAGAGGATAGAAGGCGGTCACCAACTCATAGCTGCAGTCAGTTGGACTTGCAGACACAGTACCCTAAGGCGCAGGGCTCCAAAATACCTCCAGAAGCCAACTCCTCAGCCAGGCCTCACAAGCAAGGTCTAGATGAGCGACGGCAGACCCTTGGCCACAGTCAGCTGGACCTCATCACCAAGTTTGGCCCATTCCGGAGTGAGGGGCCTGGACCCAGTGTTCTGCCAGGGCCAGGCCCTGCTGCCATGGTTGGAGTGGGCACTGGGGATGAGAAGCGGCGGACTCTGGGCCACAGCAAGCTGGATCTCATCACCAAGTACCATCACTTGCAGGGTGCCAGGCAGGGACCTGAGCCCGGCCTTCCCGCAGGTCCCACAGGTGGCAATCACAATGGTAGTAGTAATGACCCGTTTGCACCTGAGAAACGGATGACTCTGGGCCACAGCAAACTAGACCTTATCACTAAGTACAACAAGTCCAAGTTCAAGCTGCTCCGAAGTCGATTTGAGTCCTAGCCCTGCTGCCAACAGGGACAGATCCTTCTTTCATTCATTGAGACTTGACTTGCGCACGCCTCACACTCTGAGGTGGGAATGTGAAGCCAGAATAGCGTAGGGAGAAGAGGGGAGGCATCTAGAATACCAGGGCAGACACTCCCTGGTCCCAAGATTCTTATATGATTACAAGTGCATGTGCATGCACACACACGTTGTGTGCCTAAACACACATACAATGTTGTCAGGAAAAGGAAATCAGAACTATTGTGTGCTTACTGTGTGCCACTGAGCTGGACACTTCACAGAAGTTATTCTAGCATCCTTCATCATGCTATGAGATGGCCCTCTTGTTGGTATATAGTTATAGAAAAATAGATATTATCCTTTGTTTTTATAAATGTAGCAACTGAGGCCCAGAGAATTTGCCTGGTTTACAGAGAGGCAGGTCCAGGAAAAATGGTAGAGATCTCTGCCAGACTGTATCCCCAACTCTAAAGATTACATAGATAGCCGGGCGCTGGTGGCTCACGCCTGTAATCCTAGCTACTCAGGAGGCTGAGATCTGAGGATCATGGTTCAAAGCCAGCCCGGGCAGGAGAGACCGTGAGACTCCTATCTCCAATAAACCACCAGAAAACCGGAAGTGGCGCTGTAGCTCAAATAGTAGAGCGCTCGCCTTGAGCTGAAGAGCTGAGGGACAGCGCCCAGGCCCAGAGTTCAAGCCCCATGACCGACAAAAACAAAAACAAAACAAAGATTACATAGATATGAAAATATTAGCAGATGCTCCCAAATGTCTGTATAATATACACATTACTGACAGGGCACACATCACCAATTGTATATTCATAGATGCAAATAGTAGGTATGCCCAAGCCTGGTGATTAACTCACAACTTCAGGTAATCGCTAAATGTTACCTGGCTAAATGGGTACACACAAACAGGTATTCAGCACAACTATAGACTCCTCTAGGATTCATGAACTAAAAATATGCACATGACCCAACACATATACACAACTATCTGCTTGCAACTAAGGCGTGTTCTCAGTCCTGTCCTGGACAAGCCATAAGCTTGGGAGATAAGGTTTGAAAGCATAAACCACTTGAGAATAAGACAGAACTGAATCAAGGGGAAGACTGAGGGCAGAGGGGCAGAGGTCATGGAGATGATGGAGTGGTCAGGAAAAGTGCTTACAGGAGAAAGCCATTAAACCAAGCCTTGAAGGATCAGAGAAGTTGTTGACAAATGGAGCTGAGAAGAGTGCTTAGTGGAGAGAGAGTGGGTAAACTAGGGAGGACAAACATAGCACACACACACACACACACACACACACATCATTGCTGAGTGTCTCTTGAAGCACATGCTGCCTTGGGTTTTGGGCTTTTTTTTTCTTTCTGAGTTTGTCACTTTTCTGGCACCATATACATAATAAAAATCAATAAAGGCAGTTATGGCTAGACCCAACAGCAGTCCAATGTATTTTGAAACCAACTGCAGATTGGGGCTGGGAGGGGAATTACCAAGCTGATTACAGCAGGTCTCTTGGAGCAGAAAGGATGGTTTCAAGGAAGGCTTGAGGTCAGGGGTTCCAAGCCCCTTCTGCTCCCGGTGACATCCTGAGACTCACTAAACAGTTTGCAGATTCTGCAAAAGGTAGGCCAAATTCACTCCACCCCTGAAAGCAATGACCCTGGCCAACACCACTAAGGGGGACAGAAAGTGAATGATGGAGCACGAGTGGCAAAACACACTGTGGAGAGATGGGAAGCCAATCATTCCCACATCCTTACTCACTCTGGACCTCTTCCCCTCTGAGCGGGATCCTAAGATCCCGCTTCATCCCTCGTTCCTCTTTCCGATACTTTCTTCAGCCTGTTTTCCTCTGCTTCTCCAACCTTTTCATCCTGGTTCTTGTTCGCCTCAGGCATGAGCCCCAAATCTCAATCCTCAGCCCTTCACTCCCGCCTCTGCTTCAGATCAGGGATTTCTGTTTTCACGACAGAGCTGGATTTGTCCTCTTTCTCAATCTGGTCCATCCACACCCGTCCTTAATCCCAGTTGAGTCACCCCAGGCTCTCCTCTCTCCTCCCTCCCCCTCCCCTCCCCTCTCTCCCTCCCTCCCTCCCTCCCTCCCTCCCTCCCCCAGCGTGGGAGGATTACACCTCCCAGTTACAAAGCCCCTCAACGAATGAATGAGCGAACAAACAAGGCAAGAATGCTAGGGGCGGGGCCTGGAGGGGGCGTGGCCGGGCGGGGCGGCGGCCGAGGCATAGGCCATAGAGCCCTCAGAAGGTTGAGCTAGAGTGGCCGCATGCGTACTTGGACACGCCGGGCTCTCCCGGAAGACCCTGTGGACCGAGGCGGAAACGGAAACCAGTTTGGAGGGCGAGAAGTAGTCGCGGCGTGTGGAAGTTGAGGCCCCTTGGAGACCAGGTGAGGGGGGCCACGAGGGTCAGTTCCGGAACCTGAGGTTGCGGGAGAGGTAGGGGCGGGAGGATTCTGGACCCGCGACCCCGGCGGGATGCAGTGGGCGGGGCCCGAGGGCGGAGGGGGCGGGCGGGGCGGGGCCTGAGGCCGAGGCCGGGGGCCCGGCGTCCCGGTGAGAATCTGCTCTCCCCGAAGTCCCGGTCGCGCGGCCCCTAGGCGTCCCACATGGCGGTCCGAGCGTCGTTCGAGAACAACTGTGAGATCGGATGCTTTGCCAAGCTCACCAACTCCTACTGCCTGGTGGCTATCGGAGGATCGGAGAACTTCTACAGGTGTGGCCAGTGGAGGCGGGCGGGGGGCCGGGTGTCGGGGTTGGGCTCCCGGCCGGTGACCACCGAGTCCCTGTCCCCACAGTGTGTTCGAGGGCGAGCTCTCCGATACCGTCCCCGTGGTGCACGCGTCCATCGCGGGCTGCCGCATCATCGGGCGCATGTGTGTGGGTAAGGCCGACGGAGGACGACGCGGGCGAGGGCCGCACATCACTCGCTAACTCGTTAATCACACTCGTGGAAAGGACGCGGGCGTGACCGGGGATTTCCAGGCTTTCCTTGACTGCCTCCCGTTGATTGTGGAGACTGTCGCAACCTCTTTGGCAAAGGTCGCTCGCTCAGCCCGGGAGTAGTTGTGAATTAAGCACTTTCACTCTGGACCACACTCCTGTTTCGAAACGCCACTGGGAGATGGGAATTGAGCTCGTTTGGCTGTGGAGGAAGTTGAGACTCACCAAGTTCCACACCTTGGGTGGAGGAGGATTTGCATCTCGTCTCCCAGGAGTCACATTGCTTCCTCCTTCTGAGCATTTGTTTCTGCATCTGTGGGACTAAATTCTGGGTCATCCTGTTCAGCTTTTTTTTTTTTTTTTTGGTTGGTCATGGGGCTTGAACTCTGGGCACTAACCCTCAGCTCTTCAGCTCAAAGCTCTACCACTTTGAGCCACAGCTCCACTTCCGGTTTTCTGAGTGGTTTATTGGAGATAAGAGTACCACAGACTTACCTGCCCAGGCTGGCTTTGAACTGCAATCCTCAGATCTCAGTCTCATGAGTAGCTAGGATTACAGACGTGAGCCACTGGCCCCCGGCTCTATTTAGCTACATTTAAGTCTTAAATTCACTTTACCACATCTCTGAGAGGCGTCCCCATTTCCTAACCTCTTAAAGCACTGTTGACTCTGGCTTTGGGTCCTTTCTTTAATCTGTGTATCATTACTGCTACCCCTTGTTTCTTAGTTTTGCATATTGGGGTCACATAGAAATTCCCCTCCCCCTCCAATTAATTTTTTTGGTTGCCTGTCCTTGGATTTGAACTCGGCCTGGCACTGCCTGCCCTTCAGCTCCCCCCACCCCCAACACTAGCTCTACACTTCCATTCCTGGCTTTTTGGAGGATAGTTTTTTGGAGATAAGAGTCGCACAGTTTGCCCAAGCTGGCTTTGAATCGTGATCCGCAGAGCTCATTCTCCTGAAGAGTTTAGGATTACAAGCATGAGCCATCAGCACCCAGCTTAATTTCTTGTTTTTTGGTTGTTTTTTTTTTTTAATCTATGGTGGCCCTATGTATTTTTTGATTCACTAAAAACACCCTGATATCAACAACAAATCATGTTCAGAAGACTTGAAGCAAATTCTGACATAAGGGAGATTTTAGCCTGGTCCTTTCACAGGTTTAGAATTGTGGCTTCAAGAGGTTTAGTTGCCACATGTTACTATATAATGCAGGTAATTTTTTTTGTGTAAGGATACCACAGTGTATTCTTCCATTCTAATGAAAATAGACATTTGGGCAGTTTTCCATTTGGTCTTTTTGGAATATTGATGCTGTGTAAATATGGACATATGTTTGTATTTCCATTAGATATATAATACCTAGCAGTGAGATGATGTTCACTGTAGTAGGTCTAGATGCCAGCTAACTATCTGCAGTGGTTGGCCAATTTACACTGATCATTTCCTCCATATATTGCCAACACTTGGTATTGACAGTCTTTAAAAAGGGAGGTGTATACTGCTAGCTGGATTTTTTTTTTTTTTTTTTTGTCGGTCGTGGGGCTTGAACTCTGGGCCTGGGCGCTGTCCCTCAGCTCTTCAGCTCAAGGCCAGCGCTCTACCACTTGAGCCACAGCGCCACTTCCGGTTTTCTGGTGGTTTATTGGAGATAGGAGTCTCATGGTCTCTCCTGCCCGGGCTGGCTTTGAACCGTGATCCTCAGATCTCAGCCTCCTGAGTAGCTAGGATTACAGGCGTGAGCCACCAGCGCCTGGCTGCTAGCTGGATTTTTAAGTAGAAAGATAAAATTTATAATGCCAAGAACCTTTCTGTTAGTCCTGCTTCAATTCCCCTGTCATCCCTCGATGATGGTGGAAGGGACAAGGCTTATTAGGATAGATTCCTGGACCACTGAAGTTTTCCCAGGGAGTCCCTGGTTCCCTTGGTTTGAGTTGGAGGGCTAGGATCTGAGTTTAAAACTATCCTAGGGAAGCCAGATGAACTGGGTTGGGCTGGGTAGTGATATCCTCATAAGGGTGTCCCTTACAGCCCCAAAAGCAACTTTTATGTTCGTGGTTTGTCTTTGCCCCCATCTTCCAATTTGGGTCTCTCCAGGGAACAGGCACGGACTCCTGGTACCCAACAATACCACTGACCAGGAATTGCAGCACATTCGCAACTGCCTGCCAGACTCGGTGCAGATCCGACGGGTGGAGGAGCGGCTCTCAGCTCTGGGCAATGTTACCACCTGCAATGACTATGTGGCCTTGGTTCACCCAGACCTGGACAGGGTGAGGCAGCCCCACTTGGCCCAAGAGTCACACAACCAGCCTTATTAGGGGTTAGCCACTGGCTCTTTCCCTGAGACAAGAAGTAGTTTCTTTTTCTATCTTGGCTCTCTCAACTTCACATACTTATAGAAATAATGCTAATAAGGCCTTTGTAGTATGGTTAGCAATCATAAGATGGGGTAGACGTTAATCCGTTAGGGTTGGGAGATTGGCTCATCTAGTATAGATGATTACAGTTGAACTGGAGTGGGGGGGGGGAGATTAGTATAGAGGAGAAAAGGCAGCCAATGTAGGCCAGCCTCTAGATGTTCTGGGCATGCCTAGGTGTTAGAGGCTACCTAGCTGACCGACTGTAAGCTGTATCCTCCCCAGTCTGAGAGAAGCTTCCATATGCAGGTATGTAGTGGAGAAATAAGGGCCCAGAAGCCAAACTCTTGAGTAGTTTTGGCTAAAGTGTTCTAGGCCCTGAGCACAGTACCTTTGGCTAACAGGAAACAGAAGAAATTCTGGCTGATGTACTCAAGGTGGAAGTCTTCAGACAGACAGTTGCTGACCAGGTGCTCGTAGGAAGCTACTGTGTCTTCAGCAATCAAGGAGGACTGGTGCACCCCAAAACTTCAATTGAAGACCAGGATGAGCTATCCTCTCTTCTTCAGGTCCCCCTTGTGGTAAGCATTCCTACTCTCTGAACCCCATCTCCTGCCGAGGCAGATCTGTTTGCAGGTCTGGGTCATTATTATCTATTTTACTTTGGGATTGGAGCTGCAGGCCAGGGAGCAGATTTCTGGGAGCAGAGTCCTCACTGGGGAGGCAAGAATTTGGCTGTTGGTGCCTGGTGCCATGCTGAGCCCATCCTTTGGCAGGCGGGCACTGTGAACCGAGGGAGCGAGGTGATTGCTGCAGGGATGGTGGTGAATGATTGGTGTGCCTTCTGCGGCCTGGACACAACCAGCACTGAGCTGTCCGTGGTTGAGAGTGTCTTCAAGCTGAATGAAGCCCAGCCGAGCACCATTGCCACCAGCATGCGGGATTCCCTCATTGACAGGTACCTGGGGCCATTGTAGGGGCTCATTTTGCCTTTGAGGGCAAGGGAAGAAGATGCAGCCTAGGTTAAGCAGCTGCTAAGTAGTGATAGGACAAAGCCAGCAAACGTGTCTTGTGGGTCTGCTCATCTTCATTTTGAAACACTCAGTTCTGTAGGCAAACTTTTCCTATGCTATGTCTTATTTGTTCATTGACCATGTTTTTATAGTTTATGTCTGTATCAGATAGACATGGACTGTTGGCTAGGAAAAATGTGGAGACTACTTAGTCTTGAATGGTTGAAGGTGGATACTGCAACAAAATTGCAATCTGAATTTTTCTGAGTTAAAAACAAAAATGGATCCTTAACTCTAGAGATTTTGAAATATCCTAATCATTTAAAGAACAAACATTCCTCAAGTTTCTGAAACCTGATAATACCTCCTAAAACTGTAATAAAATACTGTATTTAACAATAAAACTTGAGGAAGTGTCATTAAAATCAGGCAGAATTGCTAGTTACCCACAATGACTGTAGAGCATTTTCTGGTAGTCTTTACTTGTACAATTAGGTAAGAGATGGATATTGAGAAGGAGGCAAATACTCACCAGCCTCTGGTTGGGCTGTGTTTGTAGTGCCCATGAACTTCATGATGAAGATGCCAGATAGGCAACTAAGAAGTATATTACTCAGAGTTAAGATGATGATTATCAACTACATTAAGAATGTTTTCATTTAATCCTAGAGAATAGATCTGTCTTCTAGCCTTGTATTTGTGGCCTTTTATATTAACATTAATAAAAGAACGTTCTGGAAAAGGGGCCAAAATTTTGGCTCCAGCCTGGCCACTTGTAGTTGGGCATGCCATTTTCTCTGAGCATCCTTGCCCTTTTTGCCAACATGGTCAGTGTATGTGTGTCTTGTACCTCTGTGCACACCTGCATTACCAGCACCAAGGCTTGAACTCAAGTCCTAGAGCTCTTGCTTGGCTTTTTCACTTAAGGTTGGTGTTCTGCCATTCGACTATACCTCCACTCTTGGGCTTTTTGCCAATTAATTAGAGCCTCTTGGAATTTTCTGCCCAGGCTGGCTTTTAACCTCCATCTTCAGATCTCAGCTTCCTGAGTAGCTAGGATTACAGATGCGAGTCACCCCACACAGCTGAAGCTCTAGTTTATGAATAAACTGTTGAATAAATTGGCCCATCTGAGTGCATAGAGAATTATTTTCTTTAGGGGGGTTAGTAAGATTTTAACTCATGTTTTTGCACTTGCTAGGCAGGTATATCATCACTTAAGCATTCTCCCAGACCTTTTTGCTTTATAAAACTGTTCAAATAGGGTTTCAAATATGTGTACAAGCTGTTTATACTTCCCAAGTAGTTGAGATTTCGATTGAAAGGTGTAGCATCTTGAGATTGCTTCACCTAGGCTGGCTTTGAAGTGAGATTCTCTGGACTTCTGCATCTTGAGTAGCTAGCATTACAAGTTAGAGCCACCACACCCTTCAGAAAGAATATTTTTACTTTGCTGGACTGTGACATAGGTTGTAGACACATCTGGAACTTGAACAGGATTAGGTGAGGCTGAGAGTGTACCTTCTGGGCTGTTCTTGAACAAAGGTTTAGGGGGTGCGGCAAGGTGTGCCCTGTGAAACATACTGACAAAGCCCCTTTTTCTCTCTGCAGCCTCACATGAGTCACCTTTTATGCTGTTCTGCCAGTGCCTGCATCTGGACTTTGGCTCTCTATTCTTGCCTTGGCTAGTCTATACCAGATGCTGGCAGGGAGGTGTGGCAGAGAAGTCAATGGAACTGAGTGACTGAGCGCCCAGCCCTTCTTCACTTGTGCCATCTCTTGAATCTTGTTACTCAGAAACCTGCCAGGTCATGCTGGCTCGTCAGTCCCTGTGGCTCCTAGATGAGAGTTCTGCTGGCTTTTGCCACCCCATTAAAGGGTATTAAATACCTCTCAACCTTTCCAAGTGTGTTGTTTGTGGGCCTCAACCTTGTGTAAACTCTTCCTCAACCCCCAACTGTTCCAAGGTCCTGGGAAAGCTGTGTGGGGTTGTCATCACCAGCTCTCTCCCTCATCAGGGATGAGACTTCCAGAGCAAGAGGAAGAAGCACCTTTCACCATAGTTCTCACACTTTTCACCCAACTTCTGTCCTGGTTTTCTCCAAGATGATGATAATCTTTCCACTTTTTTGAGGGGGCTGGGGAGGAGGTTCGTCATGGGCTTTTGCTCAAGGCTAACACTCTACCGCTGAGCCACAGTGCCACTTCTTGTTTTCTGGTGGTTAATTGGCCATAGTCTCGGGGATTTTCCTGCCTGAGCTGGCTTTGGAACAGTGATCCTCAGGTGTCAGCCTCCTGAGCAGCTAGGATTATAGGTGTGAGCCGCCAGCGCCCAGTTTTTTCCACTTACTTCCTACCAGTCAGGAGGGCCCCGGAAGTGTTGGACATCTCTGCCTCAGTGCATTCTTCTGTGACCTAAGGTGGATGGGGCCATTGTTGTCTTAGAGTGCTGGGAGTCCTGAAGCTGGCTTGTGTGTCTTAAGTACCTGGGCAGTACGTGGGCGGAGCCTTGGAGCAGTTGGGCGGGATTGGTCACTAGCATTGTGCTCCCGCCCCTGAGCTTGGAATCCCTGGGTTCCACCGGTGCGGTGACGCCATCACGTTAGCGTGGGGCTCCACGTGATCTCCAGTGGTACGCCGCTGATCGGCTGGCGGGCCAGAGGTGAGGGGGGCTGGCAGCGGGTTAAGCTGTTGCTGAAGCGGAGCAGACGGTCTTCCCATCCGGCAGACCATGGGCGCTCAACTGAGCGGAGGCCAGGGCGCCCCCGAGCAGGCGCAGCCCCCGCCCTCTCCCGCGGCAGGGCCGGGGCCCCAGCCCGAGCCCGGCCCGTGGGGGCCGCTGGAGGACGTGCGCTTCCTCATCGTCTGCACCTCCTGGTACTGACGCGGCCGCCCTGGAGCACGTGAGCTGCCTGCCGCCCCGCCCTTTAATCCTCCCCACGCCGACCCTCAACGCTGGCGCCGGGAGACTCCGGTCCTGGGGACTGGAAGTTCCCACAGAGCTGCCTCAGGTGTACGGCTCCATCTAGACTCGACCAACCCTGAACTTCATTGCTAGCTTGCGCCACACGCAGCTCTCCGTGCTCACCACCCCTCTCCCCAGCTGTCTGCGTGCTGTACGGAGCTAGATCCAGGCCAGGCTTTCTGGGAAGAGCCTGAGGCCTATCGGACCCTCACTGCTAGAACTGAGCTCCTGCCTGCGGCCCAGGTCCCGATGCCACGTGCAGTGACTTTACTTAACGCGGCCGCTCCCCATCCGAGGATGTCTGAGTGATGTGGCAGATGATGCATCTGGGGCAACTCGAAGGTACCCCGAAGCCCCCTCGTCCCCCTGAATTAAACCTTCTCTTTGAACCCGTTCTTTGTTCTCATACCCCAGGGAAATGACACTCTGTGTATTTTTGTTTTATTTAGAAATGATTTAAAAAACATTATACAAAGGCTGATCAGTTTAAAATGTGACCGACACAGAAATGTGATGTTCCCCAGGCTGAGGGGGCTGGGCTCTAGGGCCCCCCAGCGCTCTGCTCCTCTCTGACTGCCCTGACCTGGGATGGACAAACGGATGACCACAGGCAGGAGAATCCGTGATTGGAAGCCGCTAGGCTGAGCCCGCTCTGGGCCTGCCCCTGCATCCCTCACATCTGCAGCGTGGGCTGCCTGCCTCCATCTCCTGCTCTTTCTCAGCTGGCCTTGTACCGGGAAGCCAATAGGGGAGCCTGGGGAGCCTAGAGCCTTCAAGAAGTGAGAGCACCAACCTGAGGAGTGGAGAGGAACCAGGAAGAGGCAGGGAGGGAGGCCAGGAAGAGATGGATAGAGGAGACACTGATCTAGAGAGGTCCACAGATGAGACATAAGACCTAGCCAGCCCACTGGATGGTCCAAGCAGGTAATAACCTCTCTGTGCTTCATCTGAGGGCATGATAAAAGTTACCCTTGGCTTCCCAGGGGCTACATGAGTTCCATGTGAGTAGACAGGTGTGAGCTAATAAAGTGCTTTGCAAAGTATAAAACGCTGTACAAACCTATGAATCACTAATATCTCTGCAGTTGTTCCCCGCCTGCCCCAGGGAGCCTGCCCTTGGCCAAAATGAGAAAAAACAGAATGATGATAACAGGGGACACAGTGGAACTCACATGGGAGCCTCTGGGACAAGAGATTTTACTTGAGACAGTTCCCAGGGCAGCAAGAGTCCCTGTCTTTGCTACAGACTAAGCCAACCTAGAGTTCAGAGGCCACAGGGTAGGGACAAGGCCCATGCAGGCTCAGAGGGTAAGGGTGGCATCTGAGACCCTGCCAGCACCCTGAAGACTGCCTGGCACTGCTTTTTGGCTTTGGCAGAGAGCCAGTGGTCATCACTGCACCCTTTGGTCTTGCCTAGGGCTTCTCAGTGACCAGCGGGGCTGCCTCTGCTAGACTGGAGCAAGTCAAGCGGAGCCCTAGCAACTCCTGCCAGAAGTGAAGAGTGGGTCCAAGAAAGTAAAAAAGGGAGGCCCCTAGATTTGGGGCTGCTACCAGTTGGGGTACCCTTTTCCTAAGAACCAATGCATGAAGATGGACCCAGTAAGCTAGATTGCCAGAGCCAAGATCATAGCATAAACACTGCTTCTGGCTGAGAGATTGAGTTGCCTCAGGGTTGCTGGAGATGTGGGCATTGAGTACAGCAGAAGGCTGCACCGTACTCCCAAGGCCATGACTGTGGTGGTCATCTCTAGAGCCATCTCTCACCTAACTAGTCAGGCCACCAGCAACAGGCTGGATGGAGCAGGGCTGGGGGCAGGGTTAATGGAGAGGGGCATGGAGGATGACCACGAACTTGGATCAGCCTCTGGAAACAGGGTCAGTTCCTGCCCCAGTTCTTGAGCCTCATGAGAGGGCCCCAGCTCATTCTGGCTTGCTAGCATAACCTTAGCAGCACCTTGGTCCTTATCACCTGGGGGAAGGCCACCGCCACACTGGCCTCATCACTAAGACAATCACCTCTAATTCATCTAAAGCCTTAAGCAGCCTTTGCAAAATGGGACTTTAAACAGTAGTGACAGGACATTTAAATATTCACGATATGACATCTGGGTCCTGGTTAGACCCAGCCAGGTCACAGCCCCGCCTGCAGCATGTGACCTTAAATCCTGGGTCTCAGAGGAAACTTGACAAGTGGAGCAGGGTTCCTGAAGGATCTGCTGTTTGCCAGCAGGAGAAACCCAGGCTTGTTGCCCACCACGTTGGCAGCAGGGGTCCTGTAGCCTTGGAGGACAGTGGGGGTAAAGGTAGAGGGACATCTGACCAGCAGGTGTTGGCAGAAGGTGACGGGGGGCTAGTGGCATCTCCCAGTTGGGGGATGTGAGCTAGTGCTGGCTTGCCACAGAAGGTATTGGGTCCTAGCCAGGACCAGAGCTGTGGTACAGTGATACCACAGGGTTCAGTGACCATAGGGGCTCCTCCTGGTATGGTCCCTGCCTTCTGATGGGGCCTGGCCTATTCTCTTGAGGGAGTGGACCCAGGGCAGAAGGCTGGCCACTGGGTGCCAGACACCCACCCTGGGGCACAGCCACCATCACTCCCTAACCCACACTCAGCCTAGACCAATGCACCCACCACTTCAGCTGTACGACCCTGGCCTAGGGGCCTGCTGGACCCAGTGGGCAGTGGCCAGAGCTGCCCCTCAGACCCTGGTGAGGAAGGGCCTGGATGGCCGGACCAAGTGGACAGAGAGGGCTCTGGGCTTCTCATACCCACTCCTGGACTGGCCGCTTATAGTAGGTGACAGGCTGAGGGCCTGCTTTGTTCTTGAACTGGAAGATAGTGTAGACGAGCACCAGGATGCAGAGAGACAGGATGCAGGGGATGACCACTGCCACAGCATTCACAGAGCCTGGTACGTCATTGATGGTCACCATGATGCCCACATCATCCTGGGGTAGCCGCCGCTCTTTGCGCCGCTCCACCTCCTTTTGATTGCAGCCCATCCAGTCACGCAGGATGTTGCGTGGGTAGCCTGGCTCTACGCTCAGTTTCTGGTTGTCAAACTTCCAGTAGTCCCGACCCTTGTAGAAGTAGGTGTAATCTGCAGAAATAGAGCTCAGCATCACCTGTCCAGAGCACTTGCTGGCACCGTTCAGGGTCAGTACAAGGGTATAGGGTGCTGTGGCAGTGCGTGGGAGGGGAACTCTGAGGGATGGGTGGCATGTGAGGCAGAGGGAGTGCACTGTTGGAACTGTGGAAGTAGGGTGGTTGGTTGCACTGTGGAGTCAACAACAAGCTACAGAGAAGGGGACCCATCAGCTCATAGGTGGTGGGAATCCACTGAGGAAATTTAAGTAGAACTGGGAAATGGTTCAATTTGTGCTGTCCAGACAGGACCATTCTCAGCCTAGAGACAGCTCTGTCTCATGAGGGCCAGATCAAGCCTTCCACTCTGCGCTCCAGGGCTGCCTGAGCCAAGGGAGCAAGATTTCTTCTGTTGACCACAGACACTATCTCTCCACAATTATGAACTATTTTTGACTTGGCACATAGTGCAACACAGGTGCAGGGTCTTTGGGCCCTTCTAGGAAGAAATGGGAAAGGCTGGAAGGAAAAGTTGGGCAGGTCTGCCAAGTCATTTCCTAGGTAGCCAGATATTCCTAGGCCCTCAGCAACAGCCTGAGCAGTCCAGAGATAGGAAAACAACTCTCAGACTCTCCTCATTGGCTGGCTTTTACCTTGGAAGGGAATTTCATTGGTCAAGGTCCTTGATGTCACCTGTCTCTAAGGCTCTTCAAAAAGGAAGATCACATGTTTACACCATCAGGTACACAAACCAGCTGACAACTGCTGTCCCCTGTGGCCATTGGCTTTAGAAGTAGTGAGCTTGACAGTGGTCTCTAATGTGACATCCTCTGCCTCGTTGCTATCTACAGTATTTATTCTCCTCCTAGCTTTTATTGCTGCTTTGTTTTCTGATGCTATGAGAACTACACAAATCTTGTGCACTGCTATATCCTAATCCCCTCTTCCATACAAAATGGTTCTCAGCCATTATTGTGGAGTGAGTGAATCCTGTCATTTTACATAAACCCAATAAGAAGGTGCTGCTGTTTAAAAAAAAGCTAAAACTTACATAGTGTAGACATGTGCAGGCATCCTTACAAAGACATTATATTAAGGCAAATGCCATTATTATCTTCATTTTATAGAGGATACTGAAAAAACTGCTTTTCCAAAATTCATAGAAAGTGGTGTGGATAATCTGTGTGAACCCACCTACCCTGGCTCTACAGTCTGCTTTTTGTTGTTGTTGTTGTTCGTCTTTTTTTGGGGGGGGGTCTTGGAGGCTGAACTGTAGGCCTGCACACTGTCCCTCAGCTCTTCAGCTCAAGGCTAGTCCCTACCACTTGAGCGACAGCACCACTTCTGGCTTTTTTCTGCTTATGTACTTGAGTTCAAGCTCCAGGACTAGTAAAAAAAAAATCCTTTAAAAATATTAGCTTTTGTGCCATTTTTTACAAACCGTATTCTTTGTGAATCCATTTTTCTCCCCCCCTCCCTCACCGTTAGTCAAGGGGCTTAACTTAGGGCCTGGGCACTGTCCCAGACTAGCACTCTACCACTTTGAACCACAGCACCAAGTTTTCTGGTAGTTCATCAGAAATAAGAGTCTCACAGACTTTCCTGCCCTGCCTGGCTTCACATTGCAATCCTCAGATCTCAGCTTCCTGAGTAGCTAGGATTATAGGCATGAGCCACTGGCACCTTCCCAGCCCTGTTCACTTGTTTTTTGTAGCACTGGAGTTGGAACTCAGGGCCTTGTGCCTTGTGCTTGCTCCATCCTAAGATATCCTTCAGCTTCAGAGTCTGCTTTTGACCCTATCAACAATTATGGATGCCTCTTCTGCACCTAGCAAGATCTGACCCCTCCTATTGAGAGAAGTCCCTAGTCTTGTAGGTAGGGAGACAGATTATGAGTCCCTTTGCCAACTTTCTTCCAGGAAGAGCTTAAGAAATATCTCATAATCTTTTTAAAGCTTTACTTTCCAGCTGTCTGTCTTAAGCCCTGTAAATAAGAACCTTTGGGCAACCCCTTATTCATCATTACTTTTCAGATCTGACTACCAAGGAGCTCTTAGAGAACAGCAGAGGACCACTGTTTTAAAGGAATGAACTCAGCCCACAAAAACATCTCAATTGTGAGTCATTCCTGCAGGTGAAAATGTGTGCCTTGGTAGCTGGAAAGCTAGTTAATTTGCTGTGTGAAATAGGACAAGAGGGACAGCTGTCAGCCAGCAGGCTGAATTTCTTACACTGGGTATCAGATATACTGAGAGTATATCTGGGGTATATAAAATCAGCTCCCCCCTCTCCCTGCCTCACTGGCCCGTTACGTACATCCTTCCTTGCTGATGAAGGCCCCTTGGGGGGCCTGTGGGATGCCCTTCCACACGGTGATGGGCTTGGGGTAGCCAGGGTCTGTGGCTCGCCGCTCCTCGCTGTAGCGCCAGTACCGCTCGCCTTTGAAAAAGTACGTCTTGCCCACAGGTTCCCAACGCAGAGCTGTGTCGATACCTTCACGGGGTAAGCAACTGCCCAGCTCCCCCAGGCTGTGGGGGTACCCAGGTTCCACTGTGACCTCCTTAAATACCCAGTACTTATCACCTGTGGGAAAGAGAAGCTCAGGATCAGGATTCCCAAATCACTCAATGCCATCCATCTTTTTCCTACAGAATGTCAGTCTTTGGCCTCAGTGGATCTTGGAAGCAAGAAGCCAGAGCCTAATCACAGATCCTGGGCGATGTGTTCCATATGTCTACGTCCTATGCTCAACCCCCGTGACCTTTTCTTCTCTCCTCTGTGACAGTGTCAGGCAATCCTGTGCCTTTCTGTTAGGGATAGAAGGGCCCTTGGAGGAAATATGCTTCCTACCCCACCTCTTCCAGTTTAGAGTGGATAAAGGACATCTCAAGGACAGGGAACTGTCTCAGGTCTCATAGCACAAGCTTCATTACCTTTGAAGAAGACAAATCTTCCATCAGACCTTTCATAGGCTGCATCTATGCGGGCAGGCAGGCCTTTCCAGAACTGCTCAATCTGCATGGGGTAGCCCTCCTGCACCCGGTTATTGCGTAGGCGCCAGAACCAGCGATCCTAGGTGAAGAGAGAAAGGGATATAGCAGGCCCTGCCTGTGAATGTAGTCATCTCAGCCCAGGGACTCAAGCCTCACCCAACACCATCCTGTGAGCTTAGCCTCACAATCTCCCTGGTATCTATCCATTTGCTGCTTCTAACTTTTATGAGGATGCTCATGTAACTCATCATTTAAACCTCCCTAACTGTCCAAGAACAATGAACCAAACCTGGTTTGGGAGGAGGTATGGAAAAGCTGGAAAGGAGGATGCTGGTGCCTAGAGAAGCCACAGGAGGGCAGCAGAGAGTCACGGATTGCCAGGTAACCTTGGGAATCCCAGTATAGTAATGGGAAGGATAAAAGCCTTACTTGTTTATGAACACTTGGAGAGGAACAAAGAAAAATGAATTTAGAGCCAGGTGCCAGTGGCTCATGCCTATAATCCTAGCTACTCAGGAAGCTGAGATCTGAGGATTGCAATGTGAAGCCAGCCAGGGCAGGAAAGTCTGTGAGACTCTTATTTCTGATGAACTACCAGAAAACTGGAAGTGGTGCTGTGGCTCAAAGTGGTAGAGTGCTAGCCTAGGACAGTGCCCAGGCCCTAAGTTAAACCCCTTGACTGACGGTGGGGGGGGGGGAGAGAAAAATGGATTCACAAAGAATACGGTTTGTGAAAAATGGCACAAAAGCTAATATTTTTAAAGGATTTTTTTTTTTTTTTTGCTAGTCCTGGAGCTTGAACTCAAGTACTGGGCACTGTCCCTAAGCGTCTTTTGCTCAAGGCTAGCACTCTACCATTTGAGCCACAGCGCCACTTCTGGCTTTTTCTGTTTCTGTGGTACTAAGGAATTGAACTCAGCGCTTCATGTATGCTAGGCAAGTACTCTATTACTAAGCCACATTTCTAGTCTTTTAAGGGATTTTTTTGGGCGGGCGGGGGGGATCAGTTCTGAGGCTTGAACTCTGAGTCTGGGAGCTGTCCCTGAGCAATTTAGCTCAAGGCAAATACTCTAGCACTTGAACCACACCACCACTTCTGGTTTTCTGGTGGTTAATTGGAAATAAGGGTCTCATAGGCTGGGTGCTGGTGACTCATGCCTGTAATCCTAGCTACCCACCAGAAAACTGGAAGTGGCACCGTTGTTCAAGTGGTAGAGTGCTTGCCTTGAGCTGAAGAGCTGAGGGACAACACCCAGGTCCAGAGTTCAAGCCCCATGACCAACAACAGCAACAAAAGAATCTCATGGCTCATGGACTTTCCTGCCTGGGCTGGCTTGGAACAGCGATCCTCAGATCTTAGCCTCCTGCGTAGCTAGGCATGAGCTACCAGCACCTGGCTTAAAGGATTTTTTTTGGGTGGGGAGTGGTCCTCAGTGGGGCTTGAACTCTGGGCCTGGATGCTGTTCCTGAGCTCTTCAGCTCAAGGTTAGTACTCTACCACTTGAGTCACAGCACCAATTCCGGTTTTCTGGTGGTTAATTGGAGATAGGAGTCTCACATACTTTCCTTCCCTGGCTGGCTTTAAACCATGATCTGCAGATCTCAGCCTTCTGAGTAGCTAGGATTATAGGTGTGAGCCACCAGCACTGGCTTTAATGGATTTTTATTCTGACTTCTTTAAAGCTTCATTTTGACTTCACAACTCTTCCAAATCAGTCTGAGATTTTTTTTTTTTTTTTTGGTCCGGTCGTGGGGCCTGAACTTTGGGTCTGGGCGCTGTCCCTCAATTCTTCAGCTCAAGGCTAGCGCTCTACCACTTGAGCCACAGCACCACTCCTGGCTTTTTTCTTTTTGCTTATGGGGTGCTGAGGAATCGAACTCAGGGCCTCATGCATGCAAGGCAAGCGCTCTACCACTGAGCCACCTTCCCAGCCCCAGTCTGAGATATTTTGTGTGTGGGTGGGTGCGTGGGTGCGTGCGTGCGTGCGTGCGTGTGTGTGTGCACACGCTGCAATAGTGAGGCTTGAACTTAGAGCATTGTTTTCAGGTGTTTTTTTTTCCTCATCACTGGTGTTGCTGAGATATTATCTTGAGAAAGGCCAAATGATGAGGCACTGGTGGCTTGTGCCTGTAATCCTAGCTACTCAGGAGGCTGACACCTGAGGATCATGGTTCAAAGCCAGCCCAAGAAAGAAAGTCCATGAAACTTTTATGTCTTGTTAACCACCAGAAAACCAGAAGTGGAGCTGTGGCTCAAAGAGGTAGAATGCTAGCATTGAGTAAAAAGGCTCAGAGATAGAGCCCAGGCCCTGAGTTCAAGCCCCACAACTTGGAAGAAAAAGAAAAGGCCAAATGATATGCCTTAGAACCACTGAGTGCGACTGAGGCTGGTTACTTCTTGCTCTGTACTCGAAGTTCCCTGGGGAAACCTCCATTGCCCAGTGTGATGGAGACTTGCTGCACAGCTAACCAGATCGGTGAACACTGCTGCCCTGGTGGCCAGAAGTGAAGCCAGAAGGAAATTTTCCATTGTCAGCCCATCTGGGGGGGGGGGGTGTTGGCTTCAGAGAGCTTTCCCACTGGTCATGAGTGAGACAGGATAGTATAAAGTCCTAGTGATTTGGGGCCAACATGGAATGAGTCTGATGGGCCATTCTGCCTCTAGAGTTCTTTATGAGGGTAACAGGTCTACATTGCTGCTCAGCTTCTTCCTCAGTCCTGTCCTGCTTCTTGATCCTCTGACCTTTAGATGTTATACTAAAACTGACACCCAGTATGGGCCAAGTCTGCAGAACATCATGCCCAGTCAGCCATGGCTTATATGACAAGCCCAGAATGGATGATAAGATATAGCTTGGCCAGTGCCAGTGTCTCAGGACCTGGCAGGATCTGCAGATTCAGCTACCACTGATCCTACCTTGAGCCTGTCTGCATAGCAGTTTGATCTTCACACAGTCATTACTAGAAGGATGATTTCCCCCAGTGTCAGATGGACAATTGAGGTTCAGAGGAGGGCAACTTGCTCAATGTCAAGACAGAAACTATTTGCAGTTCCATCCCCATCATTAACCCCCAAGCAAGTTGTCAACCCAACAATATTTGTCCCTTCACCTCTTGGAAACAAGCTGACTTACCTGGCAGCACCAGAAAGAGACCTCCAGGTCCTGGCCACTAGGCCAGTTCTTGTCCAAGCTCTACAGTAGCCTGGTTCCAGAGCAAGAGTCTCCCCAAGTCTGTGGTGGGGGAAGGAGTAAAAGGACTTCAGTGGCACCTGTCCATCAGCCCTACCTTAAACACAAACATCTCGCCCCTGAAGAGGGCCACCGTGTTGAAGTTGCCATCACAGATGTTGGGTTTGGTGCCTGGAGTGGATGGTCGGTCCCCAAGGGGTGGCCGAGGGGGCCTGGGCTGGCGCTCATGTTTCCTCTCAGATGGTGAGTGGATCCTGCGGACTGGGAGTGTAGGGAGGGGCCTTGTGGGCTCCAGAGGCTCTGCTGGTGGTCCTGGAGAGAGAGGCTGCATCTTAGAGAAGAGCCAATGGTTCTCTGGGGCTTTCTACCATTACTGCAGGCAGCTCCTGGTCAAGCCTGTCACCTGGCCACCCATCAATTCACCCTGAGTTAACTCCCCCAATCTTCAAAAAGTAAATAGAAATAGCCACTGGATAGAGACACTCCTCTTCTTAATTCCTAAATCTGATAGTGCTCGCTCTTTCTCTCTCTCTGTCCCTCTCTCTCTCCCTCTCTCTGTCTTCTGTTATAAAAACAAATTTGTTCTTCCTCATGGTCAGAATCCCATGCCTTGTCCCTGCTTTCCTACATACACACTGGCCCATTTTTTCCATCTCCTTCATTCTTCAACCTGCTCCCCACCCAAACCGCTTGCCAAGATCATCAGTGACCTCTGTGTTATGGAATCCAACAGTTATTGACTCAAACTTTGTTGAGCATATGAATCATCTAGGGATCTGGATAAAGTGCAGATTATGACTCAGAGGGCTTATTAGTATGGGGCCTGCATATCTTCAAGATCTCAAGTGATGTGGCTGTTGCTGCTTTGGGGTCCACACATTGAATAGCAAGATCCTAGAAACACTCCTTTTCCAGGATCTGGTGCTCTCCTGGGTTCCCTGCAACCTCAGCAGCTGTTCCTCTGAGCCTCCTTTTTTTTTTTTTTTTTGGTCCATTGTGGAGCTTGAACTCTGGGCTTGGGCGCTGTCCCTGCTCTCTTCAGCTCAAGGCGAGTGCTCTACCACTTGAGCCACAGCACCACTTCCAGTTTTCTAGTGGTTTATTGGAGATAAGAGTCTCACTGACTTTCCTGCCCAGGCTGGCTTTGAACCATGATCCTCAGATCTCAGCCTCCTGAGTAGCTAGGATTACAGGTGTAAACTACCGGTGCCTGGCCCTCTGAGCCTCCTTTATTGCAATGTCTACCCTTCTCTAAAGATTGGGGTGCCCTGAACCCTCTTCACTTGTTTTCTTTCATCCTGGTGTAGTGCCTCTCAACTTGAGTACGTAGTAGGATCATCTGGGGACTTTTAAAAGTTCATCTCCTCGGGAAGCACACCCAATCATTAAAAAAAAAAAAATCTTTTTTTTTTCCCCAGTCTTGGGCACTGTCCCTAAGTTCATTTTGCTCAAAGCTAGTGCTCTACCACTTGCACTATAGTACCACCTTTGGCTTTTTCTGTGGTTAACTGGAGATAAGAGTCCCATGGACTTTCCTGCCTGGGCAGCCTCTTGAGTAGCTAGGATTACAGGTATAAGCCACCCGCACCTGGCTAAAATTGGAATCTTAAGATGATTCCAATAGACAGCCACCACTCCAGGAGTCTGATGCAAACTCTTGATTAGAAAGATGCTTAACATCAGAGCTCATCAAAAGATGAGCTTAATTTTACTATATATTTCAATTCAATAGCCATCTGTGGCTAGTGGCTATTGTATTAAATATCAAAGATCCCAAGTCAGTATCTCAGCCCAGGTCTTTCTACTACAGACTGGTGAATCCCATTGCTCCACAATGACCCTCACCACTGCATCTGCTCTGTCAGTCCTGTCCATTCTGCCTTTGAAACACCTTCTCATACTTACTGCTTCCACCCTACCCTCTTCTGCTTTACCTGTTAAGATCCAGAGATCTGAACAGGGAATCTCCTCCAGAGTAATGACCAGCATTTGCTCAAGTAAACTGGTCTTCCCATCTCACAACTGATGACTAGGATGAGAACTTGTGTGTGATATGATATGAAAGAGCCATGATGGAGGGCCATTCGTATCTTATCAACATAGCAGCCTAGCATCTCACTGTTGTGCTTGTTTTTTTTTTGAGATCAAAGCTGAGGATACTCATTAACTTGTATCATGAATACTCAGACAGCTGTGTGATTCTTCTTGGCTGGAAGGTACCCAGAAGAGTGTCCAGTCATCATCTGGCAGAGGGAGGGAAGCATGTGTGGCAGGGGAAGGGGCTGAGAAGAATGAGTAATCCTCATTCTGTCCCTCCCCTCACTTTCTCCCTCAGTCACTGTCACTCCACTCCTAGGTTTCCCAAGTGTACTGGGGGGACCTCATAAAAGCTGGCTCACAGAGAAACAGCAGCAATGTTGATGAATGGCACAACTCCCCTTCCCTCCAGACAGCTAGCCACAGTTCAGCCCTACAGAAGGTGAAACGGCCCTCTTTCCCCACCACACACCGTAGATCTTCTGGATTCCCTGGAGATCATCCTGGGGAAGCTTGAAGTTGTGTGTCTCCATGTACTGGTAGAAGGGTGCCATGATGGCACTAGGGTCATTGGAGTGCTCCAATCCCAGCGCATGGCCCAGCTCGTGCACAGCCACCAGGAAGAGGTCGTTCCCTGTGGAGAGGGAAAAGGGAAGGGACAAAGAGCACCCACTTAGGTATCAGTCAGTCAATCCATTAGTTGGGCAAACACTGAAAAACATTGCCTTGTGTCAGGCCCCTTATCTGGCTATCAGGATATACAGAGCTGAGACCCAATCCTTGCCTTCCAGACCTCTTGATATAGAGTGGCACTTGGAGAAATGACTTGAGTGACACAGTGTTCTGAGTGTTTTGTCCCTGATGGATGTAAGGGATGAGGGGAATTCTGAAGAGGATGGGGGCATTTAAATGTGGAAGGAAATACTCAGGGAAGACTTCAGAAAGAAAAAGCTTAATTAAATGTTGTGTCTTTAAAGGGATTCAGGGGTAGGAGAGGAAGAGGGTGGGGGTGGCATCCTGGCAGAGGGAATGCTCCAAAGCAGGTCCAGGAACAAGGAGTTTCATTCCACTTGGCTCTGGAACAAAGCCAAGTGAGGGGAGGGCTGGAGTGAGATGAGGTCAGCCAGGCTGGCAAGCAGAGCTCTGTAATGCCCTACAAAGGAGTTTGGATTGACTTCTCAGCCAACGCAGGGTATGAGGAGCAGGAGCGGAGGTGGGAGTGTGATGACAGCTCCCTGGTTATGGTTGTGGGAAGGGTTAAAGGGACATGGGGCTTGAGGCAGGAGGAACGGTGGGTTAGTTCAGAAGTCACTGCAAGAGTCTAGGTGGGAGGTGCAAAGGCTCTGAGCCAAGGCAGTAGTGGTGGGGACAAGCAAAGAAAGTCCTTGGCATAGCTGGCTGGTGGTCAGCTTCAGATCCAAAGTAAAGAGCCCTAGGTGTAGGTCAGCTCTCAGTCAGCTGGACACCAGTCTCAGAAATGTTAACTGAATTACTGACCAGGATCAAGATGAGGGTTCCAGTATGGGTAGACACATAATCCAGGTGCTGAGAGTGGAAGACAGGACCCCAAGCATGAAACAGTGGTGGGACAAGATACCTTAATTCCCAGCTCTTACCCCTACCAGCTTGTGACAGGGCCTAGTAGGTCTACCCCCTCCCATTTCTAAACTGGAGTGGAAGGTTGGATGAGTGAATAAGAAAACATATGAAGTATGTGACCTGGCCCTAAATGCTGCTGTTCTTATAATATGTGAAGGGGAAGAAACTCACCCACCGGAAAGGAAGCCCAAGGCCAGTGAACAGGGTTCCAAGAAGACTCAGTCCTCCTGAGCTTCTGCATTAAGCCTGGGGCAGAGCAAGGTCTGAGTGTGTGTGTGTGTGTGTGTGTGTGTGTGTGTATGTGTGTGTGTTTGTGTGTGTATTAAGTAACCAAAGTGTTGGTAAGCAATGCCCAGGACCAGAAATCGGACACACCACTGTACAGACAGTTGTCATGCCTATGTGTCATTACAGACCCCTATTTTCCTTGACCTCTGGCATTTGTATACTTCTTTTGCATGTGCCCTAGGCACATCTTTGAGTCCTTTCTTCACCTCTAAGTCCAGGAAGGCTGCCAGGAGTCAGGAAGCCTGCTGCGCACTCTGGCTCTATCAAGGCCCCATGAGGGTCAGAACAAGTGGGAACTATTTAGCCTTTCTGGATAAGGATTGGGAAAAGAGAACACTATGGGGCAGACCCAGATTATGGAACACGAGAGCCTGCCACTCCACCGATGCTACCAGTGTCCTCAGCTAAGCCACCTTTGAGCCTGGAAAGGAAGAGGGATGGGCAAGATCAGTGCAAGGTTGGCCAGAAGCCTGGGGCTGACCTTCTGCTGGGAAGAGATGGTTGGCAGGAGAAGGCCAGGCAGCCCTCAGCACCTTCCTCAGGTCCTGGTCCTCTGGCAGCAAGGGAGGTGTGAGCTCATCGTTGAGCTCCATCCCAAACAAAGGCAGGCTACTCAAGCCTGCGGAAGGCAGCTCTGTTTCCTGCGGCTGCCCTGGCTCTGCTCCTGGCTTGCTTCTCTACCTGGGACAAGCTGTTCAGGGGGCCCTATCTCTTGACTAGGTCCCTCCTCGAGATTGGGCCACAAGAATCTCAGCAAGGAGCCCAGGAGCTGGGCTGTGGGCTCTGAGACTCCTTTGTCCTTGGCTTGGGCTTTCAGAGAAAAGGAGTAACCCCTTCAAGGACAGGGGACTGCAGGTTTGTCCCAGGGACCCAAATGGAAGAGAAGAGCTAGGGAGCCAGCATCCTACTGTACAGAAACCAGGAGAGCTCTGGGGAGGAGGGAAGGAGCTGGGCAGGAGGGCTTCATAAGCATGGGAGAGGGAGATGAACTGTATGAGGAGGAGATCTGCTGTGGATGCCCTGTGCCTCCAGGGCAGGAGGCTCTTATGGTAGACTGTTTAGTGGTCAGGACTATGGGGTTCCTGCCATGTCTAGCAGTATGATATTTTAGATCTCTCCCTCTGTAAAATGAAGAGAACAATGCTATCTTGCTCATAGGAATCGGAGTGAATGAAGATGAGTGAAACAAGGTATATAAGATGCTTATATCTGCTCCTGGCACAGAAGCCTCACATTATTAATTAGCATATCTGTGTTGAAAGGACCAGCACCCTTCAAATCTAGTGTTTCCCCAAGTCCCTGGCCTTCCCACATTCCAGACAGCCTGCTTAGCTATGCCAGTGTCCTTGTCTCTTAGGACCTTCCTACCTGACTCCTCCATCTCCTTGACTCCTCCAGCCCCACAAAGGCATTCCCTTCACCTTGATTGTCTCATTAGTGTTGGTCCCCCCACCTGAAATAGCCTTTTCCCTCCAGACTGCAGCTCAGAGCCTATCTTCCAGAAAGCCTGCTGGATGCTCCCAGCTGCTGGGGACTATGCTTCCTTCACTCTCCCAGCATTCTCTGAGGCCACTTGGTGGATTAGGATAATTACAGCCTTTATACTCTCCCACACTCCAGGACTGTGAGCTCCTTGGGGGCAAGCTTTCAGCCTCTAAGGTGAGAATACCCTAGATGGAAGTATCAAAAGCTCAATATTCTTCCAAGTCTTTAGATGGCCTGCAGCAGAATTTTTTTGGTAAGGGTGTGGGGGGAGGGGGAGACATGAGAAGGGGGGTTGTGACTGGGAGAGAGACTGTTAAGATGTGGAGTCCCAGATTCACATCTAGTTCTGCCATTTACATCTACTGTGTGAACTTCTCAACCCCTTGGGAGAACTTGACTTTCCTCATCTGTAAAATGGAGACTGGGATCCCCGTTGTTCCCAGCCTCTGGGCGGGGGAAGAGCTGGTGACGTAAGTGTGGAAGGGCTCTATCCTCTAAGGCACGGTATGGTCACGAAGGCTCTTCCTGTCTTGTCGCCTTGCCCTATGACAAAGTGGCACACGGCTGGGTTCTCTCCCACAGGAGCTTAATGACTATCTGCTGATTTCACTGGTTGACTCATTTGAGAGAAATGAGAACAGGAGAAGTTTCTGGAAGTAGCTCCAGAAACTGGCTTTAAGGCATGGTGGGCTAGCTTGTCCATTCACAGGCTCAATAAGGTAGGAATGAGAAGCACCTGCACAATGCAGTGGTTCCCCAGGGAGCCTCTTAAACACCTGGGGAGGGGAATTCTGATTTAGGTGGTTTGGGTTGGTCAGTAGACATCTTTTTGTTTGTTTGGTGATTTTGTTTGTTTGGTGATGCTGAGGGCTGAGGTTTGAACTCAAAGCATCTACACTTGAGCCATGCTTCCAGACTTGTTTATTTTGCTTTAAAGTAGGATACTCTGCCAACCTTGTACTGTCTGTGCTTCCTGAGGCAGTGAACAGGAAGTACCGGTACCACTGAGAGAGGATTCTTTTTAAAAAGTTGAAGCTGAGTCTAATCAGGCCTATAATCTAATTACTAATATTCAGGATTCATGGAAGAGGGATAGGTTAAAAGTAAACCTGAGACTACTCAAGCCTAATTACTCAAGACAAATGACCCAGCTTCTTTAAGACAAGGGAAGATAGTGGGGGTGTGGGGAGTCAACTGTTTTAAATTGCAAGAGCTTTAGTAGACAGCCATCTTGGTGTGCAGATTCTGTTTTCTTCCTGATTCAAACAAGCAACTAGAAAAGACATCTCTGAGGTAATTTGGGAAAGTGAATACAAACTAGGTATTAGATTGTAAGAAACTGTTACCTTTGTTGGGTTTGATTGTTTTGTGGTTTATGTTAAACGTGAGTCTTGGAAATGGAGGAGTGGTAGAGCACCAGCCTTGAGTGGAAAAGAAAAAGTGAGTCTTTACCATAAGTACATACTAAAGAATTCACAGTTGAAGTGATAGACCCAGGATTTTCTTTAAAATGCATGAAGTGAAATAGAAATGATACAGTGTTGATTATTGAAGTAGGCAATGGGCACCTGGAGATCATAATCCTGCTTTCTGGAGTTTGAAGGTTTTCATAATGAAAATGTAGGGAGTGGGGTAAGATAGCTAATAATAAAATTTTCCCAGGAGACCTCTGTCTCTCCTTTGCTGAGTCTATGTGGAAATTAAATGAGATAATATCCAGGTGCTCAATAAATCTCCTTTCCTTTCCTAACAAAACTTGTCTTGGAGCAGTATGTACCAGCTCACCAGGGCTATGTTGTCACGATTGTGAGCTGTATCTGGTTCATGTCTGATTTTCCAAAGAGATCCTGACTACAGTCCAAAGAAGACATTAGCTATCTTAGAATTTCTATCAGAACTGGAGGTTGTTCAAAACTAAGGTAGGACAGGCAAGAGGGGTACTCATTCACAGCTTCTAGGTCCTTCTCTTGCATACCACCAGTTCTCCCCCAGTCCAAGGAGTTGGGGAGTATAAATCCCTAGAGCTGGGCAGAAGGAGACTGAGGCGTAAGAACATCCTCCTATCACCTCCACTGGACAACATCCCTTTGAAATTCATTTCTCAAATACTTTAAAAGAAAAATTCACTTGTTTCTACCAAGACTACAACTAAAACCATATCAGCTAATAGTGCTGGGCACATAACTTGGCCTCAAAAGTAGAAGTTCTCTTAACCTTATCAGTTAGCAAAGTCAGGCATTTGTTGATACCAATCCAAAAACAAGAATGAGATAAATAAAAATAGTTATGCAGAAAGCCAGGAAATATGTTCAGGACATAGGGTAGAGATAGAGTAAGCTGGAAGTGGCGCTGTGGCTCAAGTGATAGAGCGCCAGCCTTGAGCTGAAGAGTTGAGGGACAGCGCCCAGACCCAGAGTTCAGGCCTCACGACCGGACCTCCCCCTGGCCCCCCCAAAAAAGATATTAGAGTAGAGAAAATGAAGTTTCATAGGAAAGAAAACAAAAATCTGAAGAGGGAGGAGGACAAAGAGAAATGTAATGATTTCATAACACTATCTAGGCTGAGCCTTAGCCAACTATTTCTTGAACAAATCTGAAACAAATAAGCTGAAAGTTATCAATTCCTGAACCATACAGTGATCTAGAGTGTTCCCAAAGGAGTGAAACTCCAGCTCCAGACACCAGACACGGCCTCTGAGGAGAGAGGACTTGGATATTATGCTTATAACCTAAAGCAGTATCAAGAACAGAGAACTGTTCTCTGTTTCCCAAACTTACTTAAGAATCAGCATTTCCTACACAGGGATATGATAAATTATAAAGGACTCTAAGCATTCACATACAGTGAGAGCAAAGGAGGATACCCCTAGCAAAGGAACACAAAGCCCTATGCCTATGTGCATCTGATTATATAAAATAGTATTTATTGAAATGAGCTCCAGGAAATGGAAATAAGAGGTTTTTCTTTGTTGCTGTTTTCTTTTCTTTTCTTTCTTTTTCTTTTGTTGTTGGTGGGGCTTGAACTCTGGGCCTGGGCGCTGTCCCTCAGTTCTTCAGCTCAAGGTGAGTGCTCTACCACTTGAGCCACAACAGCACTTCTGGTTTTCTAGTGGTTTATTGGAGATAAGAGTCTCACGGACTTTCGTGCCCAGGCTGGCTTTGAACCATGATCTTCAGATCTCAGCCTCCTGAGTAGCTAGGATTACAGGCGTGAGCCACTGGTGCCTGGCTTTCTTTTCTTTTTGTCTTGTTTATCTGTCTTTGGCAGGGTAAGGGGAGCACAGAAATGGAGGAACAAAGGGTGAACAAATGTAGCAGTGGTATTTAGGAACAAAGGGTGAACAAATGTAGCAGTGGTATTTAGTAGACATAATGTTGAGAATGAACTATACAAGTTGTGGGTAGGGAAGGGAGGGGAAAACTTGGAGAGAGAAGAGAGTAGTGACACTGTCTAAAAAGAAATGGAAATGTAAGCCGGGCGCCGGTGGCTCATGCCTGTAATCCTAGCTACTTAGGAGGCTGAGATCTGAGGATCATGGTTCAAAGCCAGCCTGGGCACGAAAGTCCGTGAGACTCTTATCTCCAATAAACCACTAGAAAACCAGAAGTGGTGCTGTGGCTCAAGCGGTAGAGCGGTAGTGCAGGGACCCAAGCCCAGAGTTCAAGCCCCACGACCAACAAAAAAATAAATTAATTAATTAAAAAAAAGAAATGTACTGTTTACCTAGCTTATGTAACTATAACACCTTTGTACATCACCTTTATAATAATAATAAATTAAAGAAAATCAGCATTTCCAAGTGAAAGACCTGGAGTCAGTCTCTCTCATTTTCACTCTCATTCTTGCTCATCATTTTTGCTTATGGCTGATGCTCTATCACTTGAGCCACACCTCCAGTTCTGACTTTATGCTGGTTAATTGGAGATAAGAGTCTCTTGGATTTGTCTTCTTGGCCTGGCTTCAAAGTGTGATCCTCATATCTCAGCCTCCTGAGTAGCTAGGATTATAGGCAAGAGCCACCAAGGTCCAGCTTGTTTTTTGTTTTGTTTTGTTTTGGTCTTAAAAGTGTTCAGATGCCCCTCGTCTTTGCAGACTTGGTATCATGTCACATGATAATTGGAAGGAACCTTAAAGATCACCTAGTCAGCCCCTTGTTTTCCACATAAGGAAACTGAGGGCAAACTGTCACTAGTCACACAGACAGAAAGTTGAACTAGGGATTGAACTGAGTGCCATTTGAGCCCTGAACTCTTCATCTCAAATTGGGCGTAATGCAAGGCAAACTGGCTTTCACACCTGTAATCCCATGCAGGAGGCAGAGATTGGAAGAACTGCAATTTGAGGCCAGCCTGGAAAAAAAAATGAGACCTCCTATTTCTTTATTTTTATTTTATTTTGAGGGATACAATGTCACCCCTTCACCCACCTCCCAGTTTGTGGTCCTTATTTCAACCAATAAAAAACTGGGCAGGGCCCAGGTGGCTCATGTCTGTAATCCTGGCTACTCAGAAGATTGTTATCTGAGGATCATGGTTCAAAGCCAGCCCAGGCAAGAAAATCTGTGAAACTCTTATCTCCAATTAACCACCAGAAAACCAGAAGTGGCTCTGTGGCTCAAAGTGGTAGAGCACTAGCCTTGAGTGAAAAAGCTCAGGGATAGCGCCCAGACCCTGAGTTCAAGCCCCAGGACCAAAAAACAAAACCAAATAAAAAGTCCAAACAACAGGAAAAAACTGGGCATGGTGGCACATGCCTGCCATTCCAGCTATACAGGAAGCATAAATAGGAGAATCTCAGTCTTAGGATGGCTCAGGTATAATTATAAGAAAAAAAAATCTGGGCGCTAATGGCTCACGCCTGTATTCCTAGCTACTCAAGAGGCTGAGATCTGAGGATCGCAGTTCAAAGCCAGCCTGGGCATGAAAGTCTGTGAGACTCTTATCTCCAATAAACCACTAGAAAACCGGAAGTGGCGCAGTGCTGAAGAGCGCAGGAACAGCACCCAAGCCCAGAGTTCAAGTCCCACGACCGACCAAAAAAAAAAAAACAACCTAAAACAGAAACTAAAATAACTGGGATGTGTGGCTCAAGCAGTAGAACACCTGTCTGGCAAGGCTTTTTTTTTTTTTTTTTTGTTGGTCGTGGGGCTTGAACTCTGGGCCTGGGCGCTGTCCCTCAGCTCTTCAGCTCAAAGCAAGTGCTCTACCACTTGAGCTACAGCGCCACTTCCGGTTTTCTGGTGGTTTATTGGAGTAGGAGTCTCACGGTCTCTCCTGCCCGGGCTGGCTTTGAACCTCGATCCTCAGATCTCAGCCTCCTGAGTAGCTAGGATTACAGGTGTGAGCCACCAGTGCCCGGCTATAATAAACTTTTTTTTTTTTGTCGGTGGGGCTTGAACTCTGGGCCTGGGCACTGTCCCTCAGCTCTTCAGCTCAAGGCGAGCGCTCTACCACTTGAGCTACAGCACCACTTCCTGGCAAGGCTTTTGAGATCAGTATTGCCAAATGAAGTGTTGGGGGACGGGGAGGTCTTACTAAGTAAGTGCTTTGTGAGTAAATAATGGTGAGGAACACTTTGACCACCTGAAAGACATTCTTACTGCTCCTGTATAGTACTGTCTCCTGCTCCACTGAACCATAGTAGTATAGTGCAAGTTATCCCAAAACTAGAATAATTATGGTGCCTGTTAGAATAACCATGGGATCAGTCTATCACTCTGAACTTTAATACCTTGTTAACCTTTTTCTCAAGCCTCTAACACATCATTTTTTTCTTCTAACTCATGGTATAAGCCTGCCTCAGCCCAATTAGACCATCTCATAAGTGTTTTGACCCATCGCTGGCCTGGTAAGGGTTAGGTATTGACCCATCGCTGGCCTGGTAAGGGTTAGGTAACATCAAGTGTAGAGTATTATCAGATCACACTTTTTACACTATTGGGTTCTTAGTTCTTGAAAGTAAGACTAACATTTATGGCTTCCTCCAAGCTCTTCCTTGGAGCTTCTTTCCCTGACATCTAAGCAATCTAGGACTGATCCCCCACTCCCATCCCCTGGTAGTCTTACCATCATGGTTGGCATTTCCTAGGGTCCATGGTTCATCTGAGTCAAAGTGAGTGTCTCCTCCAATCCCTGGGCCAGGGAAGTAGGCATGGGCCAGGAATCCTCCTTCCCCATCAAATGGGGAGCTGTCACCATGGAAACCAGAAGCAAAGAAGATCATGATGTCTGCCTCCTTCCGATCACTTTTGATCTCATGGTATGGCACCTCTTCAAAGGTCAGTGGAGTCACCTTCTGCCACACATCAAAAGCCTGGCGAATAGCTTTACGTGTGTCTAGCTCACCCACCTTTGGGGTATAGTTGTGAATGCTGAGGAGAGAGGGGAAAATCATTAGGGAGGAACAGAAGGCCTGAGATAAATGGAGCTCTAGGGGCTTCAGAGGCAGTATAGCCCATTGGTCCAGCTAGCCTAAAGCTGGGAAGGCAGAATTCTAGATCTTTCTACCTGTCTCAATCAGAATAGTTTTGTTTTTTATTTTATTTTTTTTATTTATTTTTTTTGTTTTTGTTTTTTTTTTTTTTTTTTTTTGTTTTTTTTTTGTGCCCCCCCCCTAGTTTTGTTTTTTAAAGTGGTGGTGTTGGGGTTTGAACTCAGGGCCTGAGAACTGTGCCTGAGCTTTTATGTTCAAGGCTAGTGTTCTACCACTTAAGCCACAGCTCCACTTCCAGTTTTTTTTGATGTTTAAAGCTCATTTCACTAACAATGGATTTTTCCTGTCCTGGAAGGCTTTGAACCACATTCCTCATATCTCAGCCTCCTAGTAGCTAGTATTATAGGCATGAGCCACCAGAGCTCATCAAATCTTTTTCTTTTTATTTTTTCTTTCTTTACTTTTTTGCCAGTCGTGGGGCCTGGGCACTGTCCTTGAGCTCTTCAGCTCAAGGCTAGCCCTCTACCACTTGAGCCACAGTGCCACTTCTGGCCTTTTCTGCTTATGTGGTGCTGAAGAATGGAACCCAGGGCCTCATGCATGTGAGGCAAGCACTCTACCACTGAGCTACCTTTCCCAGCCCCTTTTTAATTTTTTTAAAACACTTTCTTTTTTAAAAGGCAAAAAGAATTTTATGTAAGTTTTTTTTTTTTTTTGTCATGGGGCTTGAACTCTGGGCTTGGGCGCTGACCTTGTGCTCTTCATCTCAAGGCAAGCGCTCTACCGCTTGAGCCACAGCACCACTTCCGGTTTTCTAGCAGTTTATTGGAGATAAGAGTCTCATGAACTTTCCTGCCCAGGCTGGCTTTGAACCATGATCCTCAGATCTCAGCCTCCTGAGTAGCTAGGATTACAGGCGTGAGCCACCAGCGCCCGGCTTTTTATAAACCACCATAAAAACATGATATGAATAATACATCAGACTTTTTTTTTTTTTTTTTTGATCATGGGGCTTGAACTCTGGGCCTGGACGCTGTCCCTCAGCAATTCAACTCAAGGCTAGTGCTCTACCACTTGAACAACAGCGCCACTTCCAGTTTTCTGGTGGTTTACTGGAGATCAGAGTCTCATGGACTTTCCTGCCCAGGCTGGCTTTGAACCATCATCCTCAGATCTCAGCCTCCTGAGTAGCTAGGATTACAGATATGAGCCACCGGCACCTGGTTTAAATATTTTTAAAATGATCTTTAAGTAGTTGTACAAAGGAGTTGCCATTCAACAAAACATCTTGAGAATACAATGTGTCTTAATTTCACCCTTTTAACATCTTCCTCCAGCCCTTCAAACCTACCTTTCCCGGACTTTTCTTAATTTTATAGGCTATACATTATATTTTTGACTATATTTTTCCCCAACTTCTCATTTTCATTCATCTACTCCTCTCTCCTTTCCCCTTGACCCACCCCCTCCCAGTACCCATTTCCTGGTATTTATTTTTATTTTTTTTGCCAATGCTGGGGCTTGAATTCTAGGCGTGGGTGCTGTCCCTGGGCTCCTTTTATTTAAGGCTAGTGCTCTACCACTTGAGCCTCAGCACCACTTATGACTTTTTTTTCCTAAGTAGTTTACTGGAGATAAGAGTCTCATGGACTTGCTTGCCTGCTGGCTTTGAACCTCAATCCTCAGATCTCAGCCTCCTGAGTAGCTAAGATTACAGGCATGAGCCACCAGCACCTGGCTAGTGTTTATTTTGTTGAACTATAATTCTGCCTTTCTAAGGAATTACACTATTTTTATTTTATTTTTGTGAGTTGTGAGGCTTGAACTCAGAGCCTGGGTGCTGTCCCTGAGCTCTTTTGCTCAAGGCTAGTGCTCTATCACTTTGGGTCACAGCTCCATTTCTTGTTTTTGTGTGGCTAATTGGAGATAAGAGTCTCACTGGGACTTTTTGGCCTGAACCTGGCTTTGAATTGTGATCCTCAGATATCAGCCTCCTGAGTACCTAGGATTACAAGTCTGAGCTGCTGACACCTGGCTGAATTATACTATTTAAATTCTTCCTTGAATTGACCATATTTCAGTTAATACATTTGTATATACTAGGATACCATTTAATGTCTTTACTTACATGTTTATAAATGAATTCTAGCTTCTACATATGAGGGAAAACATACAACTTTTTTGTCTCTCTAGGCCTGACAACATAATTTTTTTTCCAGGTCCTTTCAGTTCTTTGCATGATGCAGTATCATTCCATTGTGTATATATACCATAGAGATGGAGCCTTGTAGATTTTCTTCCCAGGCTGGCTTTGAACAATGATCCTCCAGGTCTCAGCCTCCTGAGTATCTAGGGTTACAGGTGTGAGTCACTGCTACCTGGCTTCTAGCCCATTTTAAACACAGATTTCTCTCTCTTTCTTTTTTTTGGTCCAGTTGTGGGGCCTGAACTCTGGGCCTAGGTGCTGTCCCTCAGCTCTTCAGCTCAAGGCTAGCACTCTACCACTTGAGCCACAGCGCCACTCCCAGCTTTTTTCTTTTTGCTTATGTGGTGCTGAGGAATCGAACCCAGGGCCTCATGCATGCAAGGCAAGCGCTCTACCACTGAGCCACCTTCCCAGCCCAACACAGATTTCTCTTAAGTTTCCTCTTCTTGTCAGATTTCTGAAAAAAAAAATCCTGTTGTAAACTCTATAGCTTGTCAGTTGAAGAGCCCTAGTTTAACACCAATGGTCTCTTAGTCCTGCCTCTGCACCAAGAGATACACCTGAAATAGCATCAGATATGCCAACAAGAGCCCAAGAGCATACTCTATTCCTGGCCCTTGCTCTAGGCCCACTTCAATTATAGTGTCTTAGTGTGGTAATTGGCTTCATCATCGTCGTTCTTAGTCTACTAATGTAACTTATGAGACTGTTCAGCCTTGGTTTTCCCAGGCAGTCAAAGAATGGCACTGTGACTCATCTTCATTCTTTATACTCCTTAAGAAATAACTGGAGGAATGGGATGTAGCTCAAGTGGAAGAGCATCTGTCTAGCAAGTATACGCCCCAAGTTTAAACATTAGTACCACACACACACACACACACACACACACACACACACACTAACAAGAGAACAAGATACTCTGTGTTGGTCATCTTGGTAATCTATCAGGCTGACTTTGGGTGGGGAGGGAATACAGATCAGTGGGTTTGGCAAGCACTGATAAAGAGGAGAAGTTCTGTATGGTCTTTACCACATTTGAAAGCTATTAATCCATACCCTGTGTTCTGTAACTAAAAACTGTAAGCAGTTAAATAGAATACAGCTAATGAGCCCACAAAGGAGCAGATAATCCTGAAAACCTGAAGCTGTAGTCATTATCCTGTGGAAGATATAAGGAAGAACAGATTGCAGATTCTCAGTACCTGGTCCTGATACCCACTTCCTGGGCCTTCATTCTAAACCCCAGAACAACCTAAACCTCAGGCACAAAAAACTGAATGAGCATGGATCAAAATCAGGGAGGAAGAGAGGGAGTTAATAGACCTGTAGGTGATATGTTTTTGCCTCCACTTCTGTCCAGTCAGGGCATAGCGCTTGTTTCTCCGCCTTCGGCTCAAGTGGGGGTGATCAGGGACACCACATCGAGGTTTCTTCATCCATCTGGGCATAGAAAGGACACACACAAATATACATATGTATGGTGGTCACTGAACATTCTAGGAAGGTATTGCTTAGTCTCCAATCCCAGTCTGAATGACAATGTATGTACTCAACTTAAATTCTGATGGTCCCCAACAGGAACATGACAGACTGATTCATTAATTCATTCACTTGCAAACAAATATAAAGAAACATTACTGAATAAGAGATATAGAGTCAGGAGACATAGCTCATAATTCCATCTCCACCACTCAACTAAGACCACACACAAATGACTGAATCATCATGAGCCACAGTTTTCTCTTTTGCATCCTATCTGCGGTAATGTTCTAATCCCTTGCCCTGTCCCACAAGGCCTGCATGATCTAGTCCCTACCACCTGTTCAATAGCTTGTCACCCTTCTGATACTATGCCCCAGCCACAGTGAGCTTTGACGGCTTTTATGAACATGCTAATCCTTTTCCTACTCTGAGGTCTTTGCATTTGTTGTTTCCTTTACTTGCAGCACCCCTTTTCTTTTCATATATTTGTCCCTTTACTTCATTAAGGTCTCTGCTCTTCAAAGAGAGTTTCTATGACCACTCTTTCTGAACAGACCACCCCATCCCACCACTGTTTGCTTATTTTGTTATTTCTTCATAGCATTATACTCCCTGAAATTAAATATTTGCTTTCTTGTTCATTTTTACCTCTCTCACCAGATTCTGGGCTCCATGAGGACAGAAGCATTACTTGTAACCCCAGTGCTGGCATAATACTAAAACAGAAGGGGGTTGATAGTGGTTTGTTGGCTGACTGAATTAGAACCCTCTAACAGTAGGATGGCATAGTAGGTTTTCAAGATATAGCTAAATATCTGGGCATGGTGTTACTTGCCTGTAATTCCAGTATTTAAAATAAGAAGATCATGAGTTAGAGGCCATAGTAAGACCTTGTCACAAAAAAATAAATAAAACTAGAGAAATGGAAAAGAAAAACTGGGAATGGTAATTCACGCCTGTAATTCCACTATGTAGGAGACATAGGAAGGAGGGTCTTGGTCTGAAGCCAGCTCTGGGCAAAAAGTACCAGATCCTATCTGAAAAATAGCTAAAGCAGGAGAACTAGTATCATGCCTACTGGTAGTAGCTCTTGCTACTGCCTAGCAAGTGTGAGGCCTTGAGTTCAAAACCCAATACCACAATCAGTCAATCAACCATTCAACCAACCAATCAATCAATAAAGTGGCTGAGCAATTATAAAATTATAAAACAAATTATCTGCATAATCATAGAACATAATTATATGTAGCAATTTCTCACATTCAATTGTGATATTTTTGTCAGTTGTGGGGCTTGAACTCTGGAACTGGATGCTGTCCCTGAGCTCTTCAGCTCAAGTTCAGCTCTCCACCACTTGAGCCATAGCACCACTTCCAGTTTTCTGGTGGTTAATTGGAAATAAGAGTCTCACAAACTTTCCTGCTTGGGCTGGCTTTGAACCATTATCCTCAGTCTTAGCCTCTTGAGTACTGAGGATTACAGGCATGAGTCACCGGCGCCCAGCTTGAATTGTGATTTTTAAATCTATTGCTTGGTTGCTTCTAATAAATTATAAGTTCTTTAGGGCCAAGAACCATCTTATATCCATTTTTGTGACCCTGCAGCTAGCTCAATGCTTAGAACTTAGTAAATCCTGATAACTATTGGCTATCAGATAAAGTTACCTTAGGAACCAATAAGCCTGGGACACTGCTGGGGATTTATGAAGATGGAGAGTTATAAGCTTATATCTTATTGGGGCCACACCATCCTACATTTTCTATTCCCTGCCTAATAATCTGCTAATCTATAGGTTGACATCGCTGGAGGAAAACAGTCTGACTTCAGTCACAACCATAAAAAGCTGTTGCTATTAGCAATATGGAGAAAAGAAGACAAAGCCTATTTCAACTAAATACTAAAAGCCCCTAGAGAAAATTGATCAGGTCCCACTCATCTTAGTGTGCTTCACATTGCTCAGAATATGACCTATACTCAACAAACTAATAATAAAAGACAATGATAGCAATATCATGCCCTAGACTATGCATTTATATTTGTCAGCATTCATATTCTTTAAAAAAAAATTGGTTCTAGGGCTGGGAAGGTGGCTCAGTGGTAGAGCTCTTGCCTTGCATGCATGAGGCCCTGGGTTTGATTCCTCAGCACCACATAAGCAAAAAGAAAAAAAAGCCGGAAGTGGTGCTGTGGCTCAAGTGGTAGAGCGCCAGCCTTGAGCTGAAGAGCTGAGGAACAGTGCCCAGGCTCAGAGTTCAGGCCCCACGACCAGACCCCCCCAAAAAAAATTGGTTCTAAGCACTATGAGGTAACAGAAATTATTACCCCCATTTTACAGATGAAGGAAAAGAAAAACTGAGTAACTTGCAAAATATAGAAAACAGTGAAGACTGAAACTTAGAAACAGGACTGGAACTTAGGTTAATAAAGAAGTGAACTATTATTAGAATTTGACAAAGGCTGGGGCTTTTTTTTTTTTTTTTGGTTGGTCATGGTGCCTGAACTCTGGAACTGGGGACTGTCCCTCAGCTCTTCAGCTCAAGGCTAGCTCTCTACCACTTGAGCCACAGTGCCAATTCCGGCTTTTTCTGCTTATGTGGTGCTGAGGAATCGAACTCAGGCCTTCTGCATGCAAGGCAAGCATTCTACCACTGAGCTGACTTCAGGCTGGGGCTCCTAATTTTCAGTGCTTAGCACAAGGGTGGTTAGAGGAACTATGCTGTTGACTGAATAAATGATTGAATGAATAAATGGGTGAAATTTCCTAAGGTAATCACTCAAAAATAGTACTTGAGGTTGCAAATCAAGCTTCCTTTCACTAACAGTCTCTAGGACAAGAACCTCAATACCTCTGCCATTGCAAGGCTGAATTAGACCTGGAAAGATCCCTAGGCTAGGAAATAGGCCCAGAGAAAGGGAGTGATTACCCAAAGTCACAGTACGTACGGGAGCTGAAAGTCAGATCTCTGAATTCTGCCTCAAACTCTACTACACTCAGGCCTTATATTGAATGAGGAAACTTCTCCTTCCCATGATTCTAGCATACTCACGTTTCCCATGCTTTACCTCCTTCCTATGAAGGGATGTGGGCAAAACTGCAGGTGGGCAATGCCACCCCTTCCCTCGGATCCTTCCCTCTGCCTCCCCCTTTCTTTGTCCACCTGCCACTCTCTGAACTTTGTCCAACAGGCCTGGGGCTTTCTGGAACTGAGTAAAATCCAAGGCCAGCTGGTGCCTCAGCAGAGACACCAGTGCTTCTGGCCCAGGGTGCACTGCTGTGAGGCCTGAGCAAAGCCCTCAAAATAACCTCCACTTGGAAAGAGAGTTGGGCTCTCTAAGCGCTCTTGTGAGTCTGCAAACCACATCATAGGTGCTGCAAAGGTACTATCACAGTACTTCACAATGTCACAGTCAAGAGAATAGGAATAGGAACTGTTTAGTCAGAATTTTGGCATCATAAAATCCTAGTGTCACCATTTTTTTTTTGGGGTCCGGGCGAGGGACCTAAACTCTGGGTCTGGGTGCTGTCCTTCAGCTCTTCAGCTCAAGGCTAGAGCTCTACCACTTGAGCCACAGCGCCACTTCCAGCTTTTTTCTTTTTGCTTATGTGGTACTGAGGAATCGAACCCAGGGCCTCAGGCATGCAAGGCAAGAGCTCTACCACTGATCCACCTTCCCAGCCTTAGTGTCACCATTTTAAAAGCTTAGAAACCTCTAATAATGGAATCTAGAATTTGGGAACCATAATTCAACAGTCCCCTTTTCAAATGAACATGCTGGATCCACAAAAACGATTCCATCAGAGTGACTTACCCAAGGGGCCGACTGATTCTAGATCCACAATTAGGTGCATTTCCTATTCCACTTGCTGCCAACTCCCCTGTGTCCTCACCCAGCCCTGCCATCTGTTCTCACCTGAGCTTGGGTTCCCATCCCTTACTACCTCCTTTGGAGCTTTCCTCCAGCTCTTTTCCAGGCCTTTGTGGCATGAATAGCTTGTCTTAGACAGCTTGAGTAGCTTCTCTAGCTATTTCTGAAGCAAACTGAAACATGTTCCACTCTCTCACATCTTAAACAAAACAAATGTCATCCCTCTGGCTACCACCCATTTCTCCTCCCCTTCACTCTCAGGATGCTTTTAAGTTTTCCCTTCACTTGCCATCTCTACTCCTCACCTCTCTTCTCATTGTCCTCTGACTTATACTACTGAGGTTACTGATGACCTCTTGGTTACTAAAATCTGTTTGATCACTCCACAGCAGCTGATCCTGCTGTGCCATGCCCCCTTCATTGCTGTGATATCACTCACCTACAGCTTCCTCTACTTTTCTGGCTGCTCCCTCTATGCTGGCTTCATGGAGTTCCATACCCAACCCTCTTTTTCCCCCTCTTCTTTATTTTCACTCTGAATGATTGCTACCATCCTTGTGCCTGGATTTATTTGTTATCACCTCCTAAGTAGCTCCCAGAGACTTTGTCTCCTTATGAACTCTAGGCTGGTATGGTCAGATGACTGTGACTTTCCATGAATAGTGACCCTCTGAAGGTGGGGTACTTGGCCTAAGCACATAAAGGCACTGATGTGTTTGATAGTTGGAAAAAGTAGAATAAGAGTTGCCAACCCATTATCAATCAAGAGTTCTCAATTTCAAGTTAGATGAGTACATTTCAAGTAACTCCAGAGAGTAACTTATAAGACTGTAAGTTACTGGAGTAAGAGGAGATTTAAGAGACCTTCTGTAACCCAACCCTTCATTGTACCACAAGGAAACTGAGGGCTACAAGGGCTTTGTCTTCAAGATCACACAGTAAGTTAATAGTAGAGCTGGAACTTCTGTCTCATCTGGTATACCCCTAGTTCACATAAGAAAGGGTACTTTGGGGTGGGCACTGGTAGTTCATGCCTATTATCCTAGCTACTCAGGAGGCTGAAATCTGAGAATCACAGTTTAAAGCCAGCTCAGGCAGAAAGTCCTTGTGAGATTCTTATCTCCAATTAACCACTCAAAAACCAGAAGTGGAGCTGTGGCTCAAAGTGGTATAGCACTAGCCTTAAAAGCAAAAGAATTCAGTGACAGTACCCAGGCCAAGTTCAAGCCCCACAACTGACCAAAAAAAAGACAGAAAGAAAGAAAGAAAGAAGGAAGGAAGGAAGGAAAGAAAGAAAGAGAAAGAAAGAAGGAAACAAAGAAAGAAAGAAAAAAGAAAGAAAGAAGGAAGGAAGGAAAGAAGGAAAGAAGGAAGGACTTTAGGATATGCCCTCCCAGGGTGGTACTACCAAAGTAAAAGATAGGAAGGTAGGATGAGTATGGGATGTATGGTGAATGCAAACCCAAATGTAAGTCCAGAAAGCTCAAAGGCACAATGTCCTACACAAATCTTACTCGATCGTTGTCTGATCCAACACACCGGTGACTGGGATTCCGTAAAATTGCTGCATAGTGGAGACTGCTGACTGTAAGGCCTTCCCTGAGTGCAACGCAGATGCTCGTGAATCATAGGGAAGCAGATAGCCATATGACTTTAACCAGTTCTGAAAGACAGGTGAAAGAAAAGGATGCATTATGCAGAGAAGGTGCCATTCTACCTGGGCAGAGATTTGCCCTTAAACTAGGGATCATTTTGCCCATGAGACTTGAGGACTCATGCTCTGATTCCTTCTTCCTTCATTCCATCCCACAGAAACTGTCAAATTAATCTCCAGGAAACACAGCTCTGATTGGCTTACTCCCTGTTGTGAACTTATCATTGGCTCTCTATTGACTACAGAATAAAGATAAATTTGTATTCAAAGCTTTTCCCTGCCCTACCTCTTTACCCATGAATACAGGGTTTCTCACTGTCAAAAGCCTAACACATAAGAGCATAGGAACAGTTAATTCACTAAATAGAGCAATCTGTGCAAATGTGCCCACCAGAAATTCTTATTTAAAGTCAGAGTCTGAGAAAGAATCACAATATAGGATATCTGTTGCCAAGAGATTATATACAGTCTTCATTGCTAAACCACCTCCCTCTAAAGCAAGTAATTGTAAGTAAATTTAAACAAAGTAATGTATTCTTTAATTTCAATAGAAACAAACAGTAAATGTTTAGGAATATCTATTATGTAAGAGAATTATTTAGCTTAGGAAATATACACTAAAATATTTAGGCTTACATAAGGGTGTGTGATGTTTGCAACTTATTCCTAAACATGTTCAGAAATAAATATAGACAGGGGGGGAACAGGAGAGGGAAAGGCAGAGGGAGAGGGAGAGAGAGGAGAAAGGAGAGAGAGCTATATAAATAAAGCAAATCAATAAATATTAACTATTGTGGAACTTAGAAAGGATATTTAGGAATTCTTTGTCCTAGTGCTAAAAACTTTCTGTGAGGGCTGGGAAGGTGGCTCAGTGGTAGAGCGCTTGCCTTGCATGCCAGAGGCCCTGGGTTCGATTCCTCAGCACCACATAAGCAAAAAGAAAAA